AATATTGGATAATCCGAGGCATGTTCCTTAATGATTAATCAGTACGGCGAGGACGGGCTGCATCAGTTGTAATTAAAGTTTAAAGAATCTCCACGTAGAATAAACAAGGATAAAGTACCATTAGGAAAAGATAAATGCTGCAACGGGAGACGGGTAATGACATATTCACAGTAATCCTCTGTGATTTCACTCAACATTCCAGTCAGCAGCACTTTAACAAGTAGGATATACATCAACGGTGGTCTGTAATAGTCAATGAGACGTATTCTGGGCTGGAAACCCCAAGAAAAGCAATGATAAAATCAGTTTCCTTGTGCACGGTAGCGGGCTGTTAGCCGCTCATTTAGTGGCTCTCGGGTAAGAGGCGGAAAAACGGCTCGCTGAACTTTAGCTGCTGCCTCACGCGCCTCGTAAATGACGAAAAGACGAACGTGATCCCAACGGAAGATACGAGGACGCAGCGAAGGATCATCCAGCCTCTGTACCACCCAGTCAGTCAGTGAGCGTAAATAAAATATGCTGATCACCTGCAGGGTAAATGCCGCTATAAATAGCCCGGAGCCGCCGCAAAAACCTCCACCCCGAAAAACTCTCAAGAAGGCCTCGAGATGTCTGCCGCGTCGGAGGAGCCGGGCCTGCTGATGGAAATGGATCTGTTTGCATCGCCAGCATCGCCAGCGGGGGGGGGGGTCGGCGCTTTGGCATCTCCTGCTAAATATCTGTTTGGAAACGGATCAAACATCCGACTGTAGAAATCATGTTCTCAGCATCGGATGTGCCAAAAAAAGTGTGCTTTGCAGAAAAAAGGAAGGTCGGCAGAACACAAGCTGATGAGGTGTTACATGCAAAGTCCACTGCAAACGCTCTCTGGAGATGCAAACTGTTTGTCTGGATGAATCAAGGCCGGATTAAACTGTACGTCAATTCGTATCCGTCTCCTAAATGCAATGACATCATCTTAAACACGCTGGGCTGCAAATGTTTTGATTAAATGTGAGTTTATTTCATGCAACTACGGCCCCACTGCATATTATTCATAGACAAATAATAAGAGACACTTTTTTGATCGAATGAAAAATGGAAATAAATGACTGTGTTTTATCTCATGTATATTTTGCCCCAGTGGGGTCCTCTGGTTCTGCTGAGTAACGTCTCTTTAATGACCGTCAGGGGACAACTCCTGATTGAATAGAAGTCTATGAGAAACACATTATTTCTCTAATGATTTATTCCCCCAGTAAACATTGCAAACATTAGCTTATGTCTCTAGTTGCAAGTCTTCTTCAAATAGACGGTAACGCGTGTTTAGGCCGGGTGTCTAATAGCAAATCTGCTAGTCCTTTCTAAAGAAATGTAAAGTGTAAAAGTGCACCTAGAACTGGCGACAAGATCAATCCTTATGAATATTTAACCTGCCGTGCAGGTGTAACATGTGTAAAACTCTCTAGAGGAATAGATTAGCCTTGTCCGTTGGGACAGGCAGCTCATCCTGCGTTCAGTGACCCGGTTGGAAGGCCCACGGTACCTTCTTGTGAAGTCGTTTTAAAACCCGCTGGCTGTTTCCATCCACTTCTCTCTCTGGCTTTGGGTTTTGTTGTTGGGACACGGCTGCATTACCTTCAGTCACCCAGATTGGTACATCCACGTCTTCTCCTAACTGCAAACACAGCGCGGTTTAATTAAAAGGCTCGTAGACAGCGGTCAGTGATGAGAGGGGGGGGGGCACAACATACTTCACCTGAATCCTAATCTTATCGAGGCTAAGAGGCAATCACAGTGTGGAGCGTGATCACAGGCTTCTACCTTCATCTACCTTCTCCCCCCTGCGCTGATCCATCTCAATAAAGCACCTGCAGAGCTCATTCTGCTGTGAGTTGATGTTTGCTGGGTATCAGTCATTTTAGGAACGTGAGCCTGTCCTCCGTATTGGAGGAGATTTAATCACGCACATATGAAATAGATAGATAGATAAACAGCACACTGCATGTGCTGGGAATTATGGAAACAGAGGGAAGAAATATCCCTGAAAAGGTTCTTTACCTCCGTCGCCCAATCAGCAATTACACCAATTCAGCATCTGCATTTCTGAGGGACGTCTTTCACAGAAACGTGATGGACGTGCGTGGCTGGCCGCACGAGTACAACTTGTGTATTTGCACCATTATTAAGCAGTTTGTTGTGAAAATAGAAAACGTTCCATCGCGCGAGTTTACCGCAGAAACTGTTAAAGCGAGAATCAAGGCCACCGAGCAACTGAGCGTTTCCTCACAGCAACAAACACAAGCATGACCCAAAATCCAGGGCGCACACCCAAACACGTATTCTGTGACGCCCTATTTTCGATCAGCCTGAGAAAAACGTACCACGCTGACGAGACGAAGACCCGTAAAGCGACTTTCGCGTCGCCCCGGAACCCCTCTGCCCCCCGGAGGGCTTGATTCCCGTCGCCCTGAGGCGCTGCAGCTGCAGGCGGACGACATATAACCCGTCCTCCCCGCGCGGGAGCCCGAGTCTCCTTCGCCATGGCAACCCTCCTGCAACGAGCGCGAGTCAGACCGCCACGAGGACGCACAGACGACGACAGTCGCGTCAAATGTCAAAACGTGCAGCCCTGTCGAAGCCCGACCAACGTTTCAAAGACCCCGTCGAGGCGCTTTGATGTTACGATTGCCATCGGAGCAGAGTCCTCACGATGGCGTCGGATGAGCTGACGTTAAACACGGCGCCATGCAGCAACGTGACAAGTGAATGCAGGGCTCCTGTTGACAGGCGGGAGCGATGGGGAACGATCAGAGAGCCGCGCGCACGCCATCAGTGGCACGCTGGACGGGAAAAACATCAAGCAGCCGTCTACATGTGGCTTTTTCATTTTTAATTAGACGGACTGCAGAGATTTAAATCGAATGGGTCAAGCATGTGACACGTGGGCAGCTTATTAATACTCGTTTTGTCAAACCTCGGACGAGTGCACAGAACGGCACAACTGGGTCACGAACTGCTCTTGAAGAGCAAAGTGGAATCCGACGGACCCCCGCAGCTCAGCGCCGAGAAATCAATCGAGTACGGCTCAGAGGGGCCCGGGGCTTCCAGAGGGGACAAAGGGGCTCAGAGCTGTCCTCCAGAGGGGACGACGGGCTCAGAGCTGTCCTCCTGAGGGGACGACGGGCTCAGAGCTGTCCTCCTGAGGGGACGACGGGCTCAGAGCTGTCCTCCAGAGGGGACGACGGGCTCAGAGCTGTTCTCCAGAGGGGACGACGGGCTCAGAGCTGTCCTCCAGACGGGACGACGGGCTCAGAGCTGTCCTCCAAAGGGGACGACGGGCTCAGAGCTGTTCTCCAGAGGGGACGACGGGCTCAGAGCTGTCCTCCTGAGGGGACGACGGGCTCAGAGCTGTTCTCCAGAGGGGACGACGGGCTCAGAGCTGTCCTCCTGAGGGGACGACGGGCTCAGAGCTGTTCTCCAGAGGGGACGACGGGCTCAGAGCTGTCCTCCAAAGGGGACGACGGGACCAGAGCTGTCCTCCAAAGGGGACGACGGGCTCAGAGCTGTCCTCCAAAGGGGACGACGGGCCCAGAGCTGTCCTCCTGAGGGGACGACAGGCCCAGAGCTGTCCTCCTGAGGGGACGACGTTCCGGAGCAGCGGAGGCCCAAAGAGGACGACACCAAATGATTTACAAAAAACACTTTTACGTAAGCAGAAGGAAGGACGTCTCCGGAAAGGAAAATAAAATCTAAGTGATTTGAATATTTAAATCCTGTAAAGGTCACTTTTTGGGAGACGCCCGGAGTCACTGCTGCATTTCCTGAGAAAAGGAAGTCACAGGTGTGTCCTCCGTCTGCGTTCACGACTGCTGCGCCGGCGGACCTGATGGCGCCGGTTGCTATGGATACCACTCAATCATCGCAGGTCACGGCTCTCTGAGACGCCTCTTGATGTTGGTGGGTGGTGCAGTAAAAATAGAAACAGCGAAATTAAGTGAACTTTCCATGGGGCTTCTTATCCAAGACGTGCGCCTGGATTCTCCTTTCAAATCTGACACGAATGTTCATTCGTACGTCACAGTCATATGGGAAACATCCAGGTGGAATTTGGTTTTAGAGAAACCATTAAATAGACTTTAAAAACCTATTTTTTCAATCCACATCTTAAGAGTTTGATCAGTTTTGACTCATCTTGTCCTTTTCTTGCTTTGAGTTACTGTTGCAGGTTTAAAGTATTTCAATCAAATCTGTGAACCGCGTCGCGTCGAGGCAGATATATTATGGTCTGTTTGGATTCCCTAAACGTCCCGCTCACCTGTCCTTCACTGAGGAGCCACAGCTGCCTCACTACTTGTGCACAGCTGGACTGTTGAGTCCGCGGGTTCGGTTTAGCTCGGCCAGCGGCTGATTGCTGTTACCCAGCCGCCATCACTCAGCTGCCAAAACAGAGGGAGTGTGAGTCGTGACTCGGGGGGGGGGAGGGGGTTCGGGGGGCTCAAGGTGGGTTTCCCTTCCTAATCCTGTCCCCCCAGCGCTAAATGCCACGGCGCTCTCTGCCGCTCCCCGATTCAGCTTCCCAAAATAGATCCTCGCAGAGCTCCCGATGGCTTCTTAAGCGCAGCAGAAGAGGGACGGCTGGACTGCTCAGCACTCGATGCTCCCCGTTGCCCCGGAAACCCACGGACAACGAAAGAGCGTTAATGTGCTTTCATAACTTCCGCATCGTTGTGCTCGGTGTCGGTGTTCTCAAAGGCATCTGCTGAAATGCAGTTCGTTGAAATCTGCGTACGAATAACTTACAATATTTCCATCCGACGAGAAGATCAACATGAATTCCATCTATGCCAAAGGGGGCTCTTCATGTTACTGTCACGTGACGCACACATGACGCCCTCTGCCAGGTTGTCTTGCGTGTTACCGCCAAAGCGCTCCAGCGTATTTTTTAAAGATGGACGTCAACACGATCTTCCCAGAGCACCCGGGGGTTTCTCCCACATGTGGTCACAGGCTGTACTCACGAGAGAGTCCTTTCCAGCCGGCTGCCGGTGGAGCCAATGATCTCCCCCAACGTGCAGAACATCTGACCGAGGAAGTCCTTCAGAGGAGAGGAGCACATGGTTAGCGTTCTGAAATCTGTCACCAAATCCAAGTGTACACGTGCAACTCGACATCGGCCCATTGGTCCCTTTCCGGAAAGCATTGAACGGTGATCGGTGTGTATTTATTGAATTGTGGAACATTAATAATCCCGTCGTTTACACAGAAACCAGTTCATTTGTCGCAGAAACGCAATAAAAGGTTATCGCACATTTGTTCCCAATCATAATCGGTTTGGGTAAAGAGGACATTTGCGTTTGTGTGGATACGGGACTTTCATTGGGCGCAACTTACCTTCTGCTCATCCAGACGGGTAAGCAGTAAGAAAAGGTCAGACACGTGTTAGAGGCTGAAAAAACAACACAAAAAATATATACAACAATAATTATTTCTGTATTTTGTATCCAAAACTGAAGTAATTTACAATTTCTACATTGTTACTCTGACAAAGTTTGTTTTCTTTCATATTCAATTTGTTTTTCCTAATTAAGAGTGCTGTAGTTTTAAAAAGAGTACTTTTTAACAAAAGCATTGGACACTTTATTTCTTTTTAAAGTACATTTGAATTAACAAACAATATAATTCAAGACCTTTTATTTTTATTTTTTTATTTTACCTTTGCAGTTTCAGGCCTCCAAACCAGTTTGCTTCTCATTGTGGAACATTTGAATAACATTTCTAAAAAGCTGCTTACATGTTTTGAAAGGTTGGAGCTCCTCGTGTCCACATTGTACCTGCAATAGAACCAAAAACACCAGACTTAACTGATGAAAGCCAAGAAAAAGACAAAAAAGAGAAACCTCTTGTGGTTAATAAGCATCGGGGATAAATACTGGCACGCTGAGAACCACGAAGGTCCTGGGTTCAGACCTTTTGGCTGGTTCGCACGTTCTCCTCGTGCCTGTGTGGGTTCTTTCCGCGTGCCGAATAGGAGAGCGAATGATTGACTTTCTCTCTCAGCCATTGACTGGGAGACTCGTCCAGGGTGACAACCCCCCCCCCCCCCACCCGCCCCCCCACGACCCCCCCACGACCCTCCGAGGATAAGCGGCAGAGAAGGCGACTGGCACGGAGATAATGGATATCTCTCCTGGGAATACAAAGATACAAAGCTTATATGCCAATTCAATAATTGGATATGATGTACTTAGGGGGGATGAATAATACATGTATGGATCTGCAGCTACATTGCTAGATGTCGAGCTCTTGGATGCAGATAAATCCACTTCTCTCTCTCTCTTCAGCTTACTGTCTCCCCAAGGACGTCCTCTTGTGTCGTGTCATTTTTGAAAAAGCATTCCATTCACGTTTGACGCTACGCAGACGTCATGTACCCTTCAGCTCGTCGTCCCTCTGTGGATCTCTTCCCCGGAGGACGACACCGAGCTCCGCTGGTATCTTTTCACCTGTGTTCTGGTCTTACACAGCCACATATTCAATGTCCCAGTAAAACCCATCCCGAGTGCTGCAGCAGCTCCAGAGCTGCAGTGTGCATCAGGAGGGTGTGGAAGTTCCTCGGTGTCTCAGAGGAGCAACAGCTCACAGGGTTCACAGCGAGCCGCCTCCGCTTTGGGGTGAAGATGCTCTGCAAATCTCGGCAGCACGTTTTCTTTAAGCTTTTCAAGGCTACAGTACAACATCTTTATTTTAAATACACACGTGAAACTGGAGAAGTTAGATATTATAACATAAGGAGCTAAATATTGGTGGTAACCATAAGAATTTGATCAATTTTGTTGGCGAATTAACTTACAATCAAAGTTATTCTTACAATCAAGGTTAGTTAGTTACTTATTTTGTGTTTAACTGTACATTCTAAAGTATAAATGATAGTCATTATTTGTCATGACATTTCATAAGTGTCATTAGTGGAGGTTGTGTGACTTGTTTGAATGAACGAACACATGCGACCGTATCAACTAGTCACCTCTCAACCGGACCGGAGAGTCAGCGTCTGGAGCTCTGCAGCCGGACCACACTGGTTTGGACTGGAATCATTGGATGGTTTTCTATAAATTATGCAGAGCACCCACATGATGGATTGACATTTCCAGTGTGACCCTGGGGTGAAATGTTAAATGTGTGCATTACTCCGTTTAATGACCTAAACGATGACAAACCAGAGATGCCAGAAAAATGCTCAAACGAATTAGCTCAAAGCACCGCAGGGCTTAAGTACTGCCTTATACTGCTATACATATACACAGAATCTATATATATATAATATAGAACGTCAACAATTATTTTATCACACATCTCAACCAATGAATGCACCTGGGGGCGGGTCCTAAGACGGCTGCAGCGGCTCACATGAACACACATTACTCGCAGAGATTCATGCCATTAATTGCATTTTAGAATATAAGCTGTTCCCCACCACTAATATATATATATATATATGTATATAATTATTGAGTATTTCTCTATCCCTCTGGTTCTGTTGGATATGCTTCTGTAAACTAGGCAACCTGCTGTGCTGCTTGTCAAGGAGCTTTGCAGTATGAAAATCGACTTCAAACTTACTGAATTTACTGAATGAGTTTCCTCCTTTTTGTTCGTTGTTCAGGTCCGTCGGTTCTTTAACAACTAAACCCACACTGTTAAGACGCTATAGGTTTATCTACTGCGTGTTTGTTTCATTTCCACTCAAAGGGGCTCTATTGAAAACAAAATTTGAGGACAAATCTTTTTTATGACCACCTCCGTTGTTCTTTTCACCAAGTGGGAGGAATTGTTCTTGTTATAAATTCTTAGTCCCACCGACTTGGAATTAGAGCCACAGAAGGAAGCGAAGATCAGCGTGTCCTGTTCTGTGCTTTGTACATTCACACTGACCTCCTGACCCCGACCCTTCCTGCAGTAAAACACAGGCGTCCTGCTTCGCTATGAATATCATCCATGGATCTAATTCATCCAGCAATTATTTCTTTCCTCACAAAAGTATTTGCGTGGTTTTGCAAACACTGCTGGTTGTGCACAGTGGCTCCCGTCATCAGAGTGTGTGAACGGGGGTGAACTGACGAACTATGACATGAAGTGTGACGAACTGACCCAGCTCAGCCGGGTTCTGCAGGAGACGGAAAAACCAAAAAACGGCACACAAAGGCTCTTTTCCCAGCTGCGCCGACTGAGGTGAAAGTTATTTAGGAGACATAACACAACCACAGCGCCCACTAAAATCACTCAGACCGCCTGCTGCTTTCCTCGTTTCGCCGCGTGCCAAGAGGTGGGTTATGAGAGGCGAGTAAAAGCCGGGGTCTGATGGAAACGCCGGAATTGAGAGGGAGCGTAAAAGAGCCGGCAGCTGCACGCGGCACCAAACTTGGCTTAAAAGCAGCGAATGCTCTCTGCCATTTAAAACGGTCGCTCCACGCACCCCACACACGCTTCCATTAAGCCTCCACGCTCGGCGTTTCACCACCAGTCTTCACACTGTACTCTCCTTTATTGCAACAAAAAAAAAAAATCTCCAGCTACACCTGCTTCTCCGGCGGTGTCAAACTGAGCGCTGTGCCGAGCTCGGGTAATGAAGTACACACAGTCGGATGATGAGAATGAGATTTGAATGCGGAGAAGCAACAGAGTTGCAGCAAGATCTAATGATGGTCTACGTGGTGGGCAGCAGGAAGGCCGGAGGGCTCCTCAGAACAATAACGCTTTGTGTTTCAATCACCTTCATCGTGTTTTGTTTTTTGCGCGTATTTCTTTGTGCGGCAGGATTCAGATTTCACAGCGTGAGACTACGTGAGTCTTTTTTAGAATTGAAATGCACATATTTAGTCTGTACCAAATCAGAATATGCATCAGGGATCCTTCGTAGCGGAGATTCCCGGGGTTCTTATTCATGAAAAGAAAACGGAATTCCTTCCTCTTAATGGCCACACGGTTACTCAGACTCAGGATTCGCCGTTAGGAGCTTTACAAACGTGCGGTGAAGATACAAAGCGGATGGGGGTGACTACCCGAAGTGTCGGGCCCTTGAAGGCAGCACTGCTATGAGAGGGGGGCTGTCTGTCATCAAAGAGGCCGTCGCCCTCCTTCAACAGTGGGCCAATTAAAAAAAAGGTTGAAACCATTAATCACAAAAAAATGGAGGAATGAGTCCATGTTGAAAAATACCAAAGCGACTCTTTAATGATTCTCATCATCATCAGATGGGTCGTGTCACTGAGAAAAGGTGATGCAAGGAACAAGCTGACCCTTCCCACAATTAAAACTATTTTAGTTTATTCAAACTATAAGTCCAACTGTGATTACCAATCACTGAATATTACAAGAACAATTTCTTTCTGTTTCCGATTGGTTCTATGACCACACATGAGTGACTTTAAACATTCTAGACAATTATTCCAAAATGTACTGACTTTTGCGAGAAGGTCAATTTAAGCCAAAGGGCGAAAAGGGCAGTTAAATAAGAATGTATTCTTACTTGAATAAGAACACCTATACATATGTGGCCTGGTGGAAATGAGAAAATATGAACATGGTTCATGGTTTTGAAAATTGCATTGCAATTACAGAAGAAAGATTGAGATTCTGGGTGCAATGGACAGTAGATCAAATGTGTACTGGAGATTTGAAAGAAAGCTTTTCCTTCCTGCCGGGTTCAGTTTTTTAAACGTTTAAATGCTTTAAACGGTTTGTCATTTGTACCGTACAGTCTGTGATTCTATCATGATGCTCACTCTTTCTTCCATTTGCTCCCCGCACGTTGCTTTTGTAAAGCGACGGCAAACGAATAGGGGACGCTGTATCACGTGCAGGTTGCAAAGCGAGAACAGTGTACAAAGAAAAACCTAATTACGTCCACCGCGCGCCGCGTAAGTTACGGTCGGATTCATTCCTTAAGGCTGCAGAAGCAAAATGTACAACGGCATTAGTTCATTTTTCTACAATAACCAATGATTGCAACACCTGTGCTCTTCTTTGGTGAGTTGCATTGATTCATTTCTTCACCGGTAACATATAAACTGATGTATAAAAGTGATTTTTACGCATCAGAACACTCACAGGTCCCCTAGTTACAGAGTTATTACACTTTTCATCATCGTTATGTCATTTTTGGAGCAGAGGCCAAAAAGCAGGCCGGGGGTCCAAGGGGATTTATTAACAAAGCGCATTGGTGACTCAGAGATGTTTATAAGATCAATACCAGCGTAACCTGCGTGACGCCTTTTAACGGCTCCTGTAGGATCCATTTACCGTCCCGAGGAAATGAGGACAATTCTACGAGGGTATTTCATCCGCGTGCCTATTCTTGCCATGTTATTGTGTACAAGTGGCCGATGAGGACAGACATTTTTTTAAATTAAAGGAGGGCGCCGTAAATGGCGCGCTGCCACAGACACGAAAAGAAGAACCTCGTCGTTGCCTAGCGACAGACATGGCGGCAACCTCTATGCACCTTTACCGTCAAATCCCACCAAAAATGAATGTCGTTACTTACAAATATTGTATGTGTGTGATTCATTATTAATGATAGATATCTTGAATGCAATAGTAGATGTATAACTACAAACTAACTCTGGCATTCAAACAATTTATTCAATATATTCAATACTAATGACGTCTTGATGAGCTCAGTTCATTTATCGCCCATTCAACGCATCGCTTTGCTTTACATCCATCGTCTATTGTGACTGAGTGAGCTAGAAATGACCTATTTTGAGAGTTGTGTGTGTTTAATAATTGATTCCCTTCCCTTGAAATGCTCCCTTTCATTGGAATTCCCTCCTATGACTCCGCGTCAGGGAGAGAACAGCAGTCTGCTGGTCAGGTCCAGAGTCGCTGCTTTCACGTGAAGCTGTTTCTAAACGACGGATATGAAACGACGGCTGACTGCTTGACACGCAACACGCGCCCCATCCGTCAAACTTTTTCCATCTATAATAAATAGCAAGTAGTGACCAATTAAATATGTATTTATACATCCTCTCCTAGCATTAATTAACGGTGTTTGGTTGATTTATAGATGCCGCGAAGTGAAATGAGGGGAACTCACCTGTAAAATATTTAGTTTGTGGCACAATTCCTTGTGTGTGTCTTTATTTATTGCATGAAATATTTAGATGACATCTGGAAGGTGAACTTTGCAGGTTTCCCTTATAGGCTTTACACCATCTACCGTTTCCCCAATAGTCACTGCTGCTGTAGAGCCAACTCGTAACATATGCACATTCTAAGAGAGACTCAATAATTCAAACCACATTAAATTGTTTTGTCAAGAGATTCAGGGGCTAATTTAATATTAGAGGGCTATGAAGGTGAGTTTAGAGAATTAGAACCACAGAAGGAAGCGAAGATCAGCGTGTCCTGTTCTGTGCTTTGTACATTCACACTGACCTCCTGACCCCGACCCTTCCTGCAGTAAAACACAAGCGTCCTGCTTCGAGTTTAGAGAGTCTAATTTGTAAAAATAATGAAAAAGATATGAGTTGCCTTGAAGAATTATTTGCATTTATATATATATATATTAAATTTATGATTAAAACACCTCATATTTAGATAAATGTGGAAAATGCAAATAAAGTTTGACAACGCTTTCATCAGGAATAAATATTTTATAGTTTTATGTGATTAATCAACGATCCACTTCTAAAATTACGTAAAAATTGCTTCTCACCAATTTCCCTCCTGTTGGAGCACTTTGTGTAATGTTAGTAATTACACACGTAAGAAAAAATGTTTTCTGCAAGATGGACATAACCGCTAACAAACGATTTGGCTTTGGATTCAGGAAGCACCTACGATAGCGTGTGTGTGTGTGTGTGTGTGTGTGTGTGTGTGTGTGTGTGTGTGTTTTGACATTGTCTGACTTAATAATTCAGCACTAATGATTTACTTTGTCAGATTAAGACAAGTCCCGGAAAAAGAAGCCTCGACCCTCAATGCCATTAAAAACATAATTTCCACCTTATTCCTTTTCCCCTTATTTACTTGTAATTGCTCTGGAAATACTGCAATTAATATTTAAAATATTAGGTTTTCATGTCCTCAAGCTCAATGTGAGTATTTAGAAAAATAACGGATGAGAAAAAAGCACCACACATATTTGGATAACTAAACTAATAATTCAAAACAAACTTCAAGGTGTCAAAATTGGGAACATAATTTGGTGTGATAAAATTTTGAAACTGGCTGAATTTTTTTTTTTGTATTTTTCCCATATTGGTCATTTTGCATGTTCATTTTTTGCACCAAAAAACCAAAAGTAGTTGATTTTGACTTATTAACCGGTTAACATCCCTTTAATGAATCTCTCACTGGCATCTACACTGGACACAGATGTCCTTCAGACGCTCGGACTGCTGCGTCTCTCGTTATTGGCTGAGGATCAGTGAGCCGCTGTCGTTGATGTTTACAGGCATCCACCATCCGGCGGGTGGAGAGCAAAGCGTTCGACTCCTTGGCCTCTGGCAGGACCCGAGCCCATGCTGGGCCTCTGTGAGCCCCCCGTCGGGGCTTAGTGCCCCATAAAGGGGCTTCGATCCCCTCTGTGGAAGACCGGGTCTCCCTCCCCGTCTGCCTCCTCGGTTCGTGGCTCCAGGTCGAAAGTTACTAATGTAGAAACCGTTCAGCTTTTCGGGCAGCAGAGCTCGTTGTGCTGTGACTTTCTCTTTACGTGATCCGGGTAAATACTCGCGTGAAACACTCGAACCAAACAAACTATTTGGAAATGAATGAAGCTCAGAGGGAAAGTAGATTGGGCTGAATAAACACTGCGTTCTATTGAATGCACCGTGTATTTAGTGATGACTAACTGTGCCCCCGGGGGTGAACTCGGGGGGATAAATGGGAACACAAATGGTGGGAAAGTCCAACTACAGACCTTCAAAAGGCCTCAATATTCCTGTTTAATAGACTACATACATTTAATGAAAGGCGGAATTTCTATTCTTAAAGGCTTGATTAAAACTATTAAAAGTTTGATTTAAAACAAAGATGATATCAGAATGTCCATGACTCTGTAGTAGTTCTTGTACATGCAAGAACAAGAACGGCAAAAAGTAAAACACTGAAGGGAAAAGATTCATTTTAGAATGAGTTATCCAACATTGACTTTCCTTTATGGTTGCTGGGTGTTTTTCAACAGACAGCCAGAGCTACAAAGACACCTGTAGCTACTGAACGTTTACTACTACAGAGTCATGCAGTCAAACAGCTGACTGGAGGCCTCCACAGCGCATATGAGCCAGCAGGCCAACGGAGGAAACAGACCGCGGCGCTGTGGAGGGAAAAGACGGCGACGTTCCAACTTACACATCAAAGCGCAGGTTCTGCTTCTCTTCAAAGAAGAAATCGAGGACAAACTTCCTCACGAAATCGGGGTTCAGCGTGTTATCGATCACTTCTGTCCGACCGAACTGGTGGAAAGAGCAGAGAGAAGAGAAGCGTCATCACGGCGATCAAACACGACTGTTGGGCCGCTTCCTTTGTAGGTCTGCAAGTCGTCGACCAGAAAACATCTGAGAGGGAGAAGATCAGACTGAGTCAAAGATGAAGATGACCCAGTTACTAGGGGAGGGAATCTCTTCACCTCACGATTCGATTCCGATTCAGAGGTCAACGATTCGATTCTAAACCGATTATCGATTCTAAACCGATAATCGATGCATCTCGATTTTCTAAATTTTCTCAAATCTGAGTTTGCTACTCAGAGGTTGCTAATCACTTCCTACTTTATTTCATAATTAAAGAAAGTCAACAGATGAATTACCTTCTCTAATTTTTTATAAGAGAAAAAAAAATCTTTGTCACAAATATGATTTTCTATCAACAATGAACCAACGCAGCTTGCATTTCAACACAATATGAAGTAGCCAGTAGTTGTAATAAAAATATTAAACAGATTCATTATTCTTTTAAATGAAGAAAAAGCTGCTCTTAGTCTCAGACCGGCCCGTATTTGTAAAATACCGTAAAAAAGTCCAAATCTGTGAATATCTTGTCAACTTTCAATACGGATCGACTTTTTGGAAAATGGAAATAATGAGGGAAGATGTGCGCAGGCTGCTCCATAGTTCGGTAAAGTTATTAGATATTCAGATTCAGACTGACGGACCGGTCTGCCAGCTGGACGCATTGGTCTTAATGTGCCGGTAATGATGGTAAATGATGGTTGTAGCTGGTTGTCGTCTACGGTGCACTACGATCACCGAAGGGGGGCGTTTGTTTTTTGACAACGTTTTATCTCATAATTTCTTTTTATCCCCTTACATTAGTACATGGGCTTCTATAGTTGTGTGAACGCATCACTCCAGCCAATCCAAAGACGCGGTTTGTAACCAATCAGGTGTAGAGGCCGTGGTGACTGGCTCCGCCCCCTTACTGTCAAAAAGAACAACAGCGAGCGCGTAGAAAACACCTTGGAGCGCGAGCAGAGACTAACCTCGAGCGCGAGCGAGCAAATATCTCGCGCGAGACAAACTTTTTTTTTTTTTTATTCCGATTATTAACTTTTCTGAATCGAGACCGAATCGTTCTAGAGACAATCGAGAGAAATCGAAAAATCGACCAGTTACATTCATTCGCTTTCCTTTCTCTCGCTGTAAATGTAAATGAGTCGGATGGTTTGGACCGATGTCACGGTTGCTCTGGATAAAGGCACATTTACATAATTAATTTTCTCTTTAATTATCCCTTAATGAGAAAATGAGTTGTTGTACTTTCTGAGAGGATTGAGGTAAAATAAGGAAATGCAGTGATTTATATCCAACTTGCCATCATATCCAATCAACACCTTTGGTTCAGATCAATCGTTGACGTTGTATCACTGGAGCGTTAAAAAGGTTCCAGATACACCGGCGCTGCATCGGGCCACTGGAACAACCTACGATACACACTGACTTCCTCTTAACTCACTACTTCGGGACAAACGGCGCATGCGGACAATAGAACATCTCGTGATGAACGCACAATCACACACTCATTTCCCCGCCGGCCAGGTTGACAGTGATGAGCGATCGATCGGGCGGCTTCCTCCGGCCTGGCGCCACCTCCGCTTTCTGCCCCCCCGCGGCTCCGTCGGAAGGCAGAATCTCCTCCAGCGTCCACTTTCGACCCCTTTGGCTCAGCGGTTCAGAGTTAGCGAGTTTAGACCGTGACGCTACCAATGTGCCGTGTTTGTCTAACCGGTCGGTTGTTACCGAGTTTGGATTTGAGCAGAAAAGAAAGAAAGCACTTTTTAACTCACTTCACACCAACTTCTCCGAGGAGGTGCCTGTAATAAGCTGTCAGGGTTTGTTTTTCTTAGGAGGCAGAGAGAAACATCAGAGGGGAGTTCATGGGAGGCAATAAATGAAACCCGTAAATAAAAAGGTCTCGGATGCCTGATATTGGTTGAAAGAAATTAAGTAATATCTTTTTTTTTTATCAAAGTAGAAAATGCATCACCAATTTCAAGTGGAGCTACGAAGGAAAAATGTAATAACTTCCTAATACAGCACACAGGTGTGTGTGTGTGTGTGTGTGTGTGTGTGTGTGTGAGAGAAGAACACGTCCACGTCCTCTTTGTTTGAAACATGATATCTCTAATAATATGAAGGAAGCATAAAACACAGGTCATCTCACCAGTGACCTGATCCCAGTTTGCCGTATTGGTTAGAAAGACCCGGGTTCCATCACTAGATAGAAGCAAACTAAGCTTCTTCCCAGCTGTGATCATTGATAAAGTACATAGTCTGTAGAAGAAAAACTACCTAAATGGGAAAAGAAAATTGGGGTTGTAGTAATTTTGTCAAATAAACACTGCCTGATGTGTCAATATTGGAAATTGTAACGCTTAGGAAGGTATTTAAAATGTAAATTTAAAGATAAAACCATTCTGAATAAAAATGCACACATTTATTTCCAAAATACGGATATTTTTAACTTGTGTTAAGCACAACTTTTACTTTAAACCCGTCATAATTGTTTGAAACTAACAATTGCTGGAAATAAATAAATATCAATAATGTCTAACAACTAGTGACAACTAGTGATTACAGCAGGTATATATGCCTTAAATGTGTAACTATGTTGGATTGGTTTTGCCACGTGGATACTGGGAATGATTTTACCTTTTTACAGTAAAGTTTACAAAAGCAAGCGAGGAACCAAAGGGAGCAGATTGTTTCTCCTTTGTGGACTCGTTTGGAAATATCTCCAAACAGGTACAACAATCTGACTTTGTACTTACATCCCTTGATTGGATTTCCTTATAATACAGACTCAACACAACAAACCTCTACGGGATGAAAATATAAAGTGTGTCATGTAATAAGATGAAGGGGGATGAAATGGGCCATAAAGAAACAACTGCCCCCAATAAGCTAAATTATTTGCAGTTGGAGATTTCATAAAGATGGAATGTGAGCTGTGTCACACACACACACACACACACACACACACACACACACACACACACACACACACACACACACACACACACACACACACACACACACACACACACACACACACACACACACACACTTTCTCAATTCGATTCTCCTTTTGTTTACGTTGCATGTGCAGTTTTCACACACAACAGTCTTTGTTTTTTGGCAGAACTGGGACAAATAAAAACATTCTCTGTATTCGTGTGATAAAATCTCTGCTAATTGCTTCAGAACGTCCTCGAGCAAATCCCGCCGATGTGTGGACGCGGCCCACGCGCTACAAGCTGCTGACAATATGTGTGACACGGGGAGGAGGCCGGTGACGGGCAGCTACGAGCGAGGAGGAGGAGGAGGAGGAGGAGGAGGAGGAGGAGGAGGACCGCCGCGTCCTCGCTAACGAACCCGTGGAGACCACTCGCCCGTCACTGGGCTCACGCGCTCAGGCAACGGACCGCCGACGGGCCGGAGGGGACCAGATCTGGCCAACTGCTGAGAAGCGTGAAGCGTTAACGTCTGATGGGGGGGATCGGGGGGGGATCGGGGGGGGAATCGGGGGGGGGGATCGGGGGGGGGATCAAGGGGGGATCAGGGACAGCGCGGTGTCACTGAATCGGCATTGAAACAGAACAGTCAACAATATTGAGCTATTTTAACACTGCAACGCAACGCAACTGTTGTCTGATGGGGGGGGCTCACTGGGGTCCGCGGACGCGTTTGGATCCCTGCCGACGGGACGCTGATTTCCTCTGACAGCAAACAAACAACAAACTACCGCGTGACGGAGAGCGAGCGGCGCCGAGGCAGAGACGGAGGTCTCCGAAAGCGTCCCTGCAACTTATGAGTCCCCGCGTTTGGCTGCCGAGGCTCCACAGCGGCGTTTTCGTTACGTCCTGTTTGCTACGAAGCTCCGTGGTCACTTCGCGCCGGCTCAGGCGCCGCTGCCCGCCTCTTTGCGTCTGTGTGGGGAGCACGACGACGCCCAATGGGGTGACTTTCTTTCTTCTCATCGTTGCTGCTTTCATTTCGCCAGCAGCTAAAAGTGTTTGCGTGCTGCTTCTCACTGGAGACGAGCGTACCGGTGTCATTTCACACCACAAAGTGTTCATTTGGAAATACAAAACTTCCGACCGGAGCCATTTTGCAATTTATACATCTTACAAAGAGAATCAAATTAACTAGGTCACACTTTTAAAAGAAACCAATTTCTTTAAACTTGAGCTATTTAAGTATCCGTCTCATCTCCATCATACTGTCGGGCCATTTCTCCTTTGTGAGGTGTCAACTGTTCTTAACTCAAACTATGTGACCGGCCTGCTTCCCTCTCTCGTCTTTAAAGACTGACGAGTTCTGCATTTCAGGATCAGGAATCAGGAAAAATGTATTACCAAAATATGCCAAACATACAAGGAATTTGTCTTGGCGGTTGGTGCGCGACAGTAGACAGACAAGACAGCAGTGCACAAGTAATAAAATAAAGTAAAATGAAATGCTAATGCTATTTTAACACAACACCACCATTTCATCCAAACAGGAGAGAATTAAAAAGCTTCTCGACTCACCTCTCTCCACTCCTTGGTCCCCAGGCCCTGCACGTATAAAACCACCACTGAGAAGACAAACAAAGAGAATCTGTTCAGGAGCAAAGCACTTTTTAAATGTTCTGAGAACGACGGTCCACCAGCAGGCTCAGGGTGCTTCTGGTCAAAGAAACAACACAATCCTCGCCAGAAGCACAGAACTCCAACGTGTCTTTGGTTCAGAATAACACAGCGGCACACGCCATGGATCACACAAAGAAAAAAGATAATTTAACCAGTGTAACCGGTGTAACCAGTCGCAATAGAGGAGCGCTGCATATGCTTCATAAAGGCCGCGGCTCAGCGGAGAGGCCGGGTCGTCGTTTCATCGGGCGCTTCGATCTCTGACATCACTTGTTTCCATGGCGATGTTGCTCCTGTGGCTCAGATTGCGGTTTCCCGAATCGCGTGAATGTTAAGATCCTGCTGATGGGCGGGTGTCACTGTGTGTGGTAGCTCCTGTCATCAGTGGGTGTGGACGGGTGTGAATGGGTGTGAATGATGTGGCGTCCGAGTTTTAGTCACCTGACAAACTCACCAACAAACCTAGTTTTTATGTTATTTTATGGTCCAAGTACTACGGGCTTCCTTCAAAAGAGCACATTGTAGGTTTGTGAGTCCTGCATTGTTTGGTCACACGTTTATTGGCCAGCAGTTCTCACTGTAACCAGATACCAGCGCCGCCTTCCATCAGCTGGTGTTGCTACGGAGAATGTGGCTGCATGAGGAAGAGAAATTGAAAAATCAAGCTTTCCGCGACACGGTCCGTTCCTCCTCCCACAATCCCCTCGCCTCCCTTCCCCGCCATCGCCATGGCAATGGCCGTCCTCCAGCACGCCCTGGTTCTGCTCGAGCGGGACGGCCGGCCAGTCAACCACGACGACCCGTCTACCGCTGGGACCCGCACACATCCTCCTTTTCTGCAGGAGCAAAACAGGGTCACGCTAAATAAATAAATACCACTACGAGAAGAAAAAGGCTGAGATTTAGGGACGGTCGGCTAACGTGAAATATTGAGTGAGTGCGTAAGTGCGCCTGCGAGTGCCCGTCGGGACGTGTAGGCCACAGATGTATAAATATACATTGTGTGTGATGCATATCGACTCTGTTTGCAGCCTGTTCACTGTTCATAGTGTTCACAAAGGTGAATGCAGTGAAGTTCATGGAAACCTCACAAAATGAACTGAAACAGGAACGTCATTCGCTTGTCACACAACTGACTTAAGTAATGTATTTTTCTCAAATTAAATTGACAGGCAAATTCACGGAGTAATATTAAGGCACTCAAACACATTATAGTTTCCATTTGCACTCGCCAGTGTTTAGCTAACAGCAAATGCTGCGTGAAGCTGCATGGAGCTGCGTGAAGCTGCATGAAGCTGCATGAAGCTGCATGAAGCTGCATGAAGTTGCTTGAAGCTGCGTGAAGTTGCATGAAGCTGCATGAAGCTGCTTGAAGCTGCATGAAGCTGCTTGAAGCTGCATGAAGCTGCATGAAGCTGCATGAAGCTGCTTAAAGCTGCGTGAAGCTGCGTGAAGCTGCGTGAAGCTGCGTGAAGCTGCATGAAGCTGCATGAAGCTGCATGAAGCTGCGTGAAGCTGCGTGAAGCTGCGTGAAGCGGAGTAGATTGCGGGATCAGTTGACGGACTCCTTTCCTGTAGTGAACCAAAATAGAAGAATACTTATTTCTACTGTCTCCAACGCCAAAACTCAGTATTGCAGGATTGAGCTTTTCCTCTATTGCATCTATTGCCTATTGCATCCTTTCCCGTACGGTTCTGTGGTGTGCGAGTAGGCTGAGCAGAATTCCAGACCAAGAAATACGCTGAATGATGCACAGCAGAGTGAGAGGAGAGAATGATTTCACATTTCCTCAGGAGCAGCTCTCTCTGGCAGGTGAAAAGCATGATATGCGATATATGATCTGTGGCGGACTCACAGAACTAGTCACCCGCAGGAAATCAGTGGCAGTAACTATACTTTAAATACGCAGATGAAGACTTGTGTGATGAACCATCAATGTGAGTGGAAACGTATCACGTGGGGCTGTGACCGGACCCAAAGGATTTGTGCAGACGAGACCGCATCTGCAATCAGGAACTGCGTAGAGACGTTAGAAAGGTCGTCCGGCGGGACGCGTCCCACGCGGCGCACGGCCTGTGAGGCCCGTCCTCCCTCGGTCGTCACACTACGACTCAATTCATCCAATTCTGGACCTTAAAAGCCCGCCACAGTGCTGAGCTTGTAATAAGTCCCAGCTGATGTATGAATGGACTCTCAAGGGGGGAAATTGTTTATGAACTCTATTAAAATAAAGAGAGAATGTAGAATGTAGAAAGGCCTCCATTCAAGGTGCAAACCCTTGACCGCTAACGGAGAGCTAACAATTAGCTCTTAGCTTTCCCTGTGTATTCATTGTGTGAGCCACTTCCTGTAGCTAGACAGTCTTGCCCTTTGATCTCTCCACTAACACAAAGTCGTATTTGAGACACGTTGACCTCTGACCCCTCTGACACACGGCCAGTCGAGTCACTCAGCCAATCAATCAATCTGTGGCTTTAAACCGAGAGGCGTGGATGGTGGACGGCGAGCGCTGCGTGACCTTATCGCCGCGCATCGAGCCGTCGCGCCGTGGGTCGGGCGGAGGGGTCTGAGCGGAGGGGGGAGGTTGGGGGGGCATCAAAGGCCGGTACGCTGATCCCCTCTGAACTGGTTTGAAGCTCAGGACCCCTCTGACACGACCGTCACCCTCCATCGTGGTCCGCGACCTCTGGCCGGCGCAGGAGGGAAGGCTGATCTACGGGGGCGTGTCAATAAAGGATGAGCCTCCGATCACCAAACGGTCTCTACCCGGCGGCATCATCTACCAATAGCATTTCAGAGCTGAATATTAAACATAGTTACATAACATAGTTACGTAAAAGCCCCCACGCCAACTGATGGTAAAAACACCGCTAAAATGAAGTTAGGCATGAATCTGAGTTAAGAGACAGAACAATGATAAAAACATCTTTCAGTGTATTTTGGATGATGAGTGAAACATCAGCACATTATTATTATATTATTATTATTATAAGATATCTTTAATGTCGGTTGATAGCTTCCATAGTTGTGGGAATGCATAATTCTAATGTTGGTTAGTGATGATTCAACTCAACGGAGATGTAATGAGTCTAATGTGAGCATCTGGGCGTCTTGCCGCTCCTTAACTTTCACACTTTACGTCACATCGACCGTTTAGTTTTTCCCCCCTACAAATCAGACCCAACATCCCACTGTAAGAACACACAGCACTTCTTCTCACCCAGAGTGTTCTGACTTCCAAAAAGAGAAGCTCCAGCTCAGACGGATTCTAGCGTGCTACAAACGTTCAAAGGGAACCGCTTTTATTTCCGCGTCGGAGTACTCCAACATGAGGCTCCTTCATTTGTGCTGCAGAGCGTGCACACGCACGCGCGCAGTGCACGGCGCCGGTGCACGCGCCCACTTACACATTTCTTCGCTGCAAGATGTACAATCAGAAAATGTGGGCGCGTAAAACCATAGGGCCGGAGGAGGCAGACAATCTGCTCTCCGTGTCCAGCTTGATTTGAGACGGGAGCGAGGAAGGTGTCAGCCATGTTCCGGCAGCGAGGACGTGGGGGGGGGGGGGGCGGACGGATGGTTTAACTAAAGCTCACGCTGCTTTGTTTCCCGTATCCCACCTGCAGTGAACGCGGACCACGTGACATCATCACATGACCCCCGAGCACGGCGTTATCAATGGAACCGAGACAGCAAAGCTCCTTCAACGCGAAACAAAGTGGCTTTAACCAGAACGTGTCCAGAAAGAGACGAGAGAAAATATCACTTTTAAAGATGCTGCCAATACTAATTGCAGATCATTGATTACCCACATTGGCAGATAAATAATGATTTGTTTTTGTCGCAGCTCGTCTTCAAGGACGTTATCCTGCTGTGAAGTCATGTAAAGTTTAAACATTTGAAATTAGTTTTACTTTCACTTTGTTATAATCACCTCAATGCATTTTAATAGAACATCCAATACAATAGATTATGAAATAAAAATGCTATACTAACATTTGGTCATTATTAGTTTTAAAGTGTAGCGTAATATACGCTGTTAAAAGCTACTGTTGGGAGATGTATTTTCCTTTTCATTAGTTTAAAAAATGTCTGATGAGGATGATGAAAAGGTGAAGAGCGTGGATGCTAAATGCTTCTCTCTCCGTCTCAATCACAACAAGTCATCGCCGCGTCAAATAAAGAACGAGAAAACGGCAAGCGGTTACCTGGATCCGACTTGGAGAAGGTGTCCATGTCCAACAGGTTTCTGCAACGAAAGGAAGGAGCTCGTTATCATCCGATCACTTTGCATCCGGTCATATCAGCAGATGAACGGTTTCATTCACGTGGGATCTGCACTGCAGCGGTTGGTCATGTCAGAGCGTCGCTTAATAACCACTGCCTTCCCTTCAACTAGCGTCCATGTTCCTTACTGGGAGGTCAACAGAACATCTCAAACATCTGGCTGTGGTATCTCATATCAAACGATTTTAACCAATAGTCCTTCTGCCGTGTGAGAAACCCTCTTCCTAAAGTCTAAAACTGTGATGCGACCTCAAAAACACTTTGTTCATTGTGTCTCATTTAAAACGTTCCTGTGCTCCTGAGCTGAATGGCAGGTGGACTCGTGGTTGGACAGCGCCGGTCTTCCTGCCACACAGAGCCAGGACGTAAACCTCCTTCTGATGACGTCTGTCATGTGTCAATGGTTCAATATAGAAGTCTTTTCTTTTTTTTGAAACATTGGCGAATTCCACTGTTCATTTTTTTTGTGAAATGGTTTATTAAAGCTCGTTATCTTCTTCATGGTTTATGTCATTGTAACTGGGTTATTCTGCCGTGTTTGAGTTCTCTTTCCAGCGATGACTGATCCGTTTCCAGAGGTGCAGGATTTTTATATTACAGCGAAAATTAAAGCGTCAGAGAGAACAGAGCAAAACAACGTGCTTTTGCTCAAGACAGCAACACACCCCGGTATTGGAAAGGGGAGACTGGGCTTCTGCTCGCACCCTGGGTTCCATCATGTTAGTGACTTTTTCTCATTTTGTAGCCGCGTCGCGAGAAATGATTCATACAAGCGCAAACAAACACAAAGGGGCGTCACAACACAGACGTCAGATGAAACCAGGAGCATTTCCTCCAAACAACTTGACACATGAGTGAGAGTCGAGTGGGATGTGGGGGGGGGGGGGGGGGGGGGGGCACATGTGAGATGTTCACGCCCTGGCAACTAGCTGCTCAATGACGTTTGAATTCGGGGAGGAGGACTGGAGACCCGTCGCCTCCGTTTGACACTAATCTCACTGAGGTGACAAGGTCTCTGCTTTTAATGTGTCCTCGTGCCTGAGACCGGGGGGACGTGATGTGAGGGAAGCTGGGTATCCAATCAGTGCCCCCCCCCCACACCCCCCCCACGCTGTGATTGACATTCTCCCACTGAGGAGTCCTGGCTCCCCGCGCTCGCTGACCTACCTGGCATTTCACTCGAAAAGCACAGCTGAAGTAACTTTTTAACCCCACCCGCCCCGACACACACACACACACACACACACACACACACACACACACCACGCTGTACAGCCGTCACCACTATGGAGACCACTAGAGACGGCGTCATACACTCGGTTACATCACATCCTTGAGGCGTGTACACTGCTTTCACAACAAAAGGGTCACGTCTCCTTCACTGGGTCTGTCCCACACAAATAACCGTCCGGGAACAGGACCCACGACTAGTTATTCAAAAGCTGGTACAGAATGTAAGTCCAACTACTGAGGAGTACTGTGAAAATGTGAACTCTTTACCGTTAATAAAACAGTCTGAACACAGTAAAATGTAACTGAATGCAGTTACATTTTACTCATTGAAGTCATTTAGTCATTGACGGGATCTGCAGGAGCGGCGTTTGGGTGAAAGGTCGTCTGGCGGGCCGCTACTGTGAGCCTCCACATTGCCATTAATAGGTGATCAGATCACATTTGGTAAGTCTGGTGAACAGCGATCTGTTCCATGGGCGGCCGTGGTCGGGCTCAGCTGCACGGGGGGGGGGGGGGCCCGAGGGGGTCGGCCAAGAGGGGTGTGAGTGGCCTCAGCTGTAATCGGCTTTAACGATGTTAAAGCCGTGTTCCGCATGTACGCGGTGCACCGACGGGGGACGAGCAGCGGGGAAGACGATGCCAGACGAGACCTGTACAGCCCGAGCATGGAAGATAAAAACCCTCATACCGAACCCAACGGGTAACAGGCATTTGTTACAAGGCTGGATGACGCCCCTACGGTGGGAGGACGCACGTGAACTGTTACATCGTTCAAATTGCGTTCCATACGAGGAGTGCGTTTTGTTTGGCGTCGGTGCCCTTGTGTGGCGGTAAATGGGCCAGAAAATATGTTTAAAAGGGCCGTAAGTGACATCCGGATCCAAGAGAACGTGATAAATAAACATTTCTGGCTTTCTGGCGACAAAAAACGCTGCAGGGTCTCTCTCGCTTTCAGCCACGACCCCCACGAGCCAACTTACACTAACTGATGCTGTTGCTCTTATTGTTTAACTGAAATTAGGCCGAAGCAAACACAAACATCTGGCTAATTTATAGAAATGAAGTAGAGACGAGTATGTTTTAGTGTCTGCTAAGATATTCCCCACATGTCCTCGACATCACACCGTACGGCTGTTGTTTCTTTCTATCGTCTCTGGTGTCTGCGGTTCCAGACCTGTGACCAAACACCATAGATTGACGACAGATACTAAATGAAAGCGCTGCACAGATTTTCACCAGGACTCTTTTATTTTTTGGTTTATTTATCAGAATATTGTGGAAGAGGATATGATCACAGATGGCGTGCAGCTTTGAGCTGTTTGCAGTAACAGTACTCCTTTATAGATTTATTTTATTTATTTTTTGGCCTATTTTGGACGGTAAAGTAAACTGCGGTTTGTCGCCTCACCTCAGTGAGTCCAGACCACATCATCTATTTCTATTTCAGACGCTGCAGATTCTTCTTTCCATCACGTCAATACTCATTTGTGTTTTTGTTTATAAAATACTTTCAGGTTAAGGGAGTATTCTGATCATTTCAAGACTCGCTGTAAAGGTTCACTATATATTACTTATACTTATATATATTACTTATATTACTACAAATAGAGATCCATTTTCAATAAGATTTAGGGCAGACCAAATTATAGAATTACCTTTCTCACCTAATAAATTAATGTTTCAAAAGGTCGAAAGATTTTTTAATTGAGCAGAAATTAACATTAACATCAAGAAAGAGAGTTAGGACACAAAGCGCTTGGCAACAGGGTGTTTTTTCCTCATCCTTAGTGAGTAGAACTCCTGAACTCTACAAATATAAATCAACATAAGCAGCGCGACGTGCAAAACACTGCCTGCTTCGACGTTAATAAGCTCATTCTGTGCAGGGACATGAATCCATCCGGCTCCCGCTTACTCTCACGGGCACCTTCTTGTCAAGTGGCTCGACCCCAATTGGGGAAGCGATCCCCCTCATCACCAGCTGGAGTGGCTCTGGGCAACAACAGGACGTCCGGGCTGAAACCGTTAATGGAAAAGAGACGCAGGGCAATAGATCGAGTGGGACACGGCGTGCGTGGAGACAGAGGAGTCACCGAGCAGGAGACCCTTTCATAACGACGCTCATCCATTCCAAAGACATTTGGATCCAGATGTCAAGTTGCATTCTCATGCTCACAACGTAGACGTCGTCCACCTTCCGTACTGCTCACGTGCAACGGGCGCAGGAATGAATGCGCGTCATCGTCAGCGGCACCAGAGAACTCCACGTCCACTTAAAGTTACTCATTGGTCAGCCGACACAGGGGCACCCGCTGCCTGCTGTCAGATCAAGCCACACCTCATTAAACATCGGTGTCTCTCTCCGGTCAGGCTCCCTCTGGGGCCTTACTGAGCCGACCCCATTGTGTCAGCGTCGGGGAGCTGAACCGGTCCCTCTCTAACCCCTCCGGACTGCCGGGGCCCGGGGACACTGAGGACAAGCAACACATGTCACGTTCAGCAGCTTCCACCTCTATTCGTTCGTAGACACCGACCAGGACTGGGAGGACGCATTTTGCATTGCATTGCATACGATGGTTGGGGAAACGCTGAATTCGTGTGGTTAGGGAAAAAGCTGTGAGTTTGCTTAAATCCGTTATGTTTGTATGTTTTAGACATTTCATGTCCACTTGTGGTAATACGTCCTCTTTGATGCTGTATGTGGAATCTTTGCAGCGTTTCTGCAGCAGAACAAGCCGAAAAGACATGCGGTTGCTATGGTGAATGTGTCTGCAAACGATCGCCATTCACACATGTGTCAAGACGCAGTGCAACCCCCTGACCTTCTAACTGCACCGCTATGTTCACCAGCGAGTCGCTAACATTAGCCGGCCTGCTGTTTGATGGCTGCTGCTGGGAAACCGCCTCTAAACAAAAGATGTTAACTGGAAAAAGGGCCAAACCTGTTGTTAAGTTGTTCAAATAAATGTCGTTCACATCTTGATTGATTGATTGATAGATTTTGTAAACCTTGACAGACTTTCTTCATTTTGGTGTAAAGGTAACAAGTCAGCAACGGGGTCTCGCAGTTCTCGCGTTGATTGTGACATTTTCGCTTTAGACGCAACTTAATGAGCGCAAAAGTACTGGTTTCCTCAAGTATGGCGGCGTTCTTTAGCTGTAACCGTTCTTTTTATTTACAATAACAATGTCGGGTTAAGTAACTTGTAACACTCTTTTGTAAAAAAAATTATATATTTCTCAAACACTGCAAGTGGCTGTATTACTCCTTAAATAAGACACTTTTATTCTCACAAGTCAATAAACATAAGTCTTTGGGTTTAAACTGTTTAGAGTCTAAACAGTTTAAACCCAAAGATTTATATTACTCTCCTTCTTGATGTGAATTTTTGCACAATAAAAAAAATACTTCTATCTTTGTTGACCTTTTGAAACACTAATTTGTTAGGTGAGAAAAGTAATTCTGTAATTTGGTCTCCGCTGGCCAACTTGCTAACCAGATCACAACTGGCCAGCTAGTTAGCTAGTTAACGTGTTAGCCTGTTAGCTACTTAGCGTGTTAGCGGGTTGTGGCTCGACAGACTTTGAAATGCATTGTTTTCTGGTCTCACGTAACTTACGCCGGATTTTCCAAAACCAAAAACCCTCCAAACGCACGCAGCTCCTCTGGTGGGCACAAGCTGTGTTGGTGCATCTCTGGTCTCTCCTTGTTCCTCCTGTATCGCTCTTTTCCTGTTTTTATGTAGCAACAGAGTTACTTCTTGTGTTACAAATTGTTTATGTGTCACAAGCTGTTTTACCCTGTTAAACCGTGTTTATTGTGGGTTATTCATTGTCGTTATAGACTCACATAAGACAAGTAGCTCAGACCGCCGGCCGCTTCTCCAGGACGTGTAAAAATAAATTCTGCCGCCTGCCTGAAGAGCAACGCCAGTTGTTGTTATTGCGTAACACCGGTGTGAACGGCACGTGTAAGTCTTATACCGGTATGCCGTAGGAACCGGCACACCGTGCAGCCCTGGAGCCTCCTATTCCTGGTACAAATCAGCAAACCTGCATCCAGACCAGACGGCAACCTCGGGTTTTGTTAAGTGAAGCCGATGCTGAAGTGCATTAAAGCTGCATTCTGTATAACGTCCACCGGGGGGCGACTCCTCCGACTGCATAGAAGTCTATGAAATGACTCTTGACCGTCATGAATTATTCCCCCGGCAAACACTGTGAACAGGGGTTTAGTCTCAATCCCCAGTTTTAATTACCATAAAGCAGATTATTTTATTTATGAAACTCATTTATTTTTATTTTTTTATTTTACGACTGTATACAAGTAAAACATTAATTAATTTATTATATATATATATATATACAGGCAGAGTAACATTTAGATTTGATTAATTTATTATATATATATATAAATTAATCAAATCTAAATATATATATATATATATCATAAATTAATCAAATCTAAATGTCACTCTGCCTGTGATTACTAAAATGAGTAAGGGTGTAGTCCTACATTATTCGTTCCCTCTTCAGACCTTATTAAAATAAGCCTGGTCGTTCAAAGCACACTCGGATCTCTCCCTCTGTGTCTTTTCTTCATTGTCAGTGGGAACATCTCATCTCCACGCACTCGTGTGATCTCAGAGTTGCGCTCTCCACGGCACTCTGAATAAATCCTGCAACCCTCCCCCCCCCACGCACTTTTATACACCCACAGCACATGCAAATTGTAAAAGAAAAGCAGTTGCTGCATAAACGTTGAAGACACACAATGCTGATTGAAAGCGGGAGGAAAACTCTGACTCACACACACACACACACACACGAAGACGCACGAGGAGACCAAGCGACCTAAAATAAATGACCACGACAAAAAAAAAAAAAAAAAACTAAATGCAATATCAAGTGACCAGAAACGTGTGAACGCGTGAAACGAAAACGCGTGACAGGTGAGCGCGCTTCCTGCGACTTACCTGCACGAGACGGTGATTTCAATCTTCGTCGCAGGTACGGTGGAGTTGAGGGGGTCGAAATCCCTTATTGCCGCCATGGCTTTTTCTTTCCCCCCTCTTCTCAAACGAGACTTCTCCTGCGCCGCGGTAAGTTTTCACTCAGCCGCTGTCACCGAGGCGCGCTGCTTCCATCCAGCCGGGAGGAGCGAGGAGGAGCGAGGAGGAGGAGGAGGCCGCCGGAGCGCGGCGCCTGGGCACCTGAGGAGGAGGCGTCCGTTCATGGCGAGGGAGAGAGACAGAGACACAGAGAGGGAGAGAGAGAGAGAGAGAGATCTCGCTTCTCTCCATCCGTCGCCAGGTGGAGGCAGAGACCTCCACGCGTTTAACCCGTGGCCCGCTGGGGGAGAAGATCAGGGAGAAGCAGAGCGGCACGTGGAAGAGGTTTTATTTCAAATGAGCCTTTACATCCTCGCACGCTTTTATTTATTTATTTTTACACGTGACTCCACCACGTTGCAGATGGACGGACGCACGTGACCCAAGATGGCGAGAAGAGGTCGTGGCTCCAAGCGACGAGTTGTCATATGCGGTGTGACCTTTGACCCGAGGGAAGGCTTTTTTTGCGTCTCTTCTTGCGTTTTAGTTTTGGCAGAATTTCCTATTTTAAGCCGAGCCACGTTTCCTTCACACTACACAATCAACGTGTTTTAAAACCGCTTAAATCTGCAACTGTAGAGAATACGTTTGAATTGATCACCACTCGCGCTTTGTTCCTTATGTTTACATTCATGTTAGAAGCCCACACGTTGCATGTGATGGATCTTGTGTCGCGGCGAGAGGACCTGCTCCTCCTCGACGCCAGTTTAGGCCCAATAGAAATCTTTTCTTTTTTATCGAACAAAAAATACTAAATGTAATGTTTCTCCTGATGTTAGTGAGTTGTTGTTCCGGCCTGCGGGCCGACAGAACTGCTCCTGCCTTTGCAAACGCAGCGCTGATACTCGACCTGTGATCTGACAAATAAATCTCCCAGAACGAGAGAAGTCGTTTGGCTGAATCCTTCCAGATGTCCCCAACCAGGCTCCCAATTTTGTTCACCATCTTTCAATTATCTCTAAATGAATAACCCGCTCACTAAGAACACGGTGTTGACATTAAGGCAAATGAAAGATGCAGGAAAGTGTTCCAGAGCGGGGAGGCAAAATAAAAAGAGAGAAGCTCACAAAGAACAAGAGGCAGCAGGAGGAGACGCACGAGGAACCCTCGGTGGAGGGTCGTGCCCTCGGGATGTCTCCCCCACGTCTTCAAGGCCATTACGTCTTAACAGTTTATCCACATTTCATAAGCAGCAAGAATAATTTAGGCCTGTCAACAGTCGATTAGCAGGATGAATAATTCATGAATCAATAATTCATGAACCACCGAAACATTTTAGCATTCACACCTCCGAGGCAGTGGGAAGATGCAGCGGATTAAATAACCACGAGCTGACTGGGTTCAGGCCGGTTCCATGCGAGCATCTGGCCCAATGGGGGGTGTGTGGGATGACCTTTGACCTCAAGCTTTTGAGGGAGAGAAAGCAGGTCTTGGTCGTCCCCTTAAGTTGTGACCGTCCTTGAGCTTCACCAGGTTGACTTTCCTTGGAGGCTGAACATCTAGTTTCTGATCATGTTGCATTTGACCGTCTTGAATATTCCAAAGCGCATGTCGAGGTGTTAACAAAGCCCCCTTGGGGCTTAGGCGCTAAGGGCCGAATCTCTCACCACGATAAGGAATCAATCGGAAGCGACGTCATCGAGGAAGGAAGAAACAAGCACGGCACGAAAGCTTCTTTAAATTGTCGTTTATTCACAATTGACACCTGCCGCTCGGTTCACTTTCCATTTGTCGCGCGTCGCCTGCAAACAATTCAGAGCAATTAATGACAAAAAAAAAAAAATTACTTAAAAATGCCTCAACATTACAAAAAGGACTTTTCACACAGATCAGTGCAATGCAGCATTTTCAAAAGAGATTAAAACAATTAAAATGAATTGGAGATAAACGTGGGAGGATGTCACGCAAAACCGGCGAGTGTAAAAGTATTTACCTCCAGAGAAGGGTTCTCTTTTCTTATAATGCCATTTTTCAGCAATGTGAAAATGACAACGTTACCACAGCCGTCTGGTGCCGGCGGACAGGAGACGTGACGGCAAAATAAAACAAATCATATGAAACCAACTGAATTAGACGTCCTGGGCAAAATATGTTCCAAAGAAAGTATAAAAGCCGGTGAAGCTGAGACTGAAAATCAGGCAGATTGCTTGTGTGGGATGTTTAAATAAAACCCATTTATGCCAACGACAGACACACGAGGCCATGAGAGCCAAGATGTCCTTGACGCATCAACAATACAGAGATGACGCCTCTAAAACACAGCAGATGTTTTTGGTACAGAAAACAGAATTTGGTTCAGAATGCACCAGAACAGAAAGAACACGCCGGCCGAGCGTTCAGTACAGAGGCGGAGGTGGGAAGTTGTTAGCCTAGCTTAGCATAAACACTCAACACAAGTTGGGCTGGTTCGGAGCGGTTTGGCTCGACGGGGAATTGGCTTCAAATGGAGCATGTTTGAATTGCGCTCGGAGTAAATTTTGTTTTGTGCGGCAAAACCACGATTAAGGAAGTTTGATCAAATTTAGCCGTTTCCACACTACTTTTCTTTTGCAACGCCGCAAAATGTAAATATGCAAATGGAACCACAGCTTCAGGGACGTACGTGTCAATCTTCCCGGTGAACACATGTCGTCCCTAAAGGTCCCACTACAATCATTCCTTAAGATATTCTTCTTTTTAAAAGGCAGAAATGAAAAAAAAAAAGCTCTCATTAACCTTTGCGGCCTGTAAGACTCGACAGCTTTACGTTATTGCAAAAGCTTCACTGAAAGGCCAACGCTGCTCATGCAACCCAAACTGTTACAACCATTTAAGAAATGCAAATACACCCGACCAGAGAAAGATCTGCCCCAGTGTTACTGAAGATAAAAAAAGGCACGACAAAAGGTCCTGAGGTACAGCAGCCATCATCACCGGTTTGGCAACACTGACAAGCAAGTTCCAGATAAAAATCTCACAACAGGATTCTCTTAAGAAAATTACTCAAATGTGAATCTACGCTAAAGCAGCTCAGATAGAAATGTCACGTTTTTTTTTGAACAAACCGCGGTAACAGCTGGGCGTCGCTTCACACATCTGCTACCAGGACGCTCGGTGCCTCTTGTGCTACCAAGAAGAGACGGCCTGATACGGACTCAAGTAGAGGACATGGAGACGTTATTAATGGCGTGGAGCGAAAGACGGACGCCCGGGTACGTTCATCGCTTCACTTCCGGTTAGGCCATCGGGAAGAGCCCCTGCAGACGGGAGCGATCGGGTTAACGGATCGGATCTTCCCGACGCGCCATCTGGAATCCCGCTTTCCATACAGGCTCCTGCCACAGCCAAACCAAGTCTGTCACACCAACGGGGAACCGGCCAGGGACCTTGACGAGTCCGATTAAGACAAACCGCTGAAGCCTGATATCACAAAACTAGGGAACGAGGAGGTGCTGTAGGTCGAGTAGCCGAACATGTGATGGGATCCCTTCACGTGGATGGAGGGACAACTACCGCATGGACTGTGGGCATCGCATGAGGACAGACTTTTAAAAGCCCGTCCTCGTCCTTTGAGTCTGGACCCCAAAGCTGTGAGCTGTGAAACGGAAGCTCTTAATCGAACGGTGATAGTTCTGTCAGGAAACAGTAGGTGCAGTGTTTACCTCATTTTTAAAACCCACCATTGGTACACAAAACCACCATTTGAACCAGTAATGAAGCATAAGTGTACCTGGTCTCTGCAGGGCCTCTGAGGAGCAGAGAGGCTCCATGTTCTCACACAGTTACATCTTTCATATCCCTTTTTGATACTGTGGCTGAAAAAACATTTCTCTCCCTGAATTTGACTGACAAACATGGAAAATGAAAAGGAGAAAACAAGAGAAAAGGTGGAGCAGCATGGGAAAAATAAAAACAGAAGGTCTGAAAAACCAATATCAAAAAGGAACAGAAATGAATGCGTCACCCCTGAACTGAGCAGAGATGTTTGGCACTTTTGAGTCCAGGCGCGTCGCGTCGACTGCGGATGGATGGAAGCGGAAGGAGGGTCTGATGTCACATTCGGAGGGTTCAGACGATGGCGTTTGTTCCCCGCAGGCCGACCCCGCGGGCAAACTGCTCCAGCAGGCCGGAGATGGCCCCCGAGGGGCTGGGCGCCGAGGACTTGAGGCCCACGGTGGAGCTGTAGGCCGCCAGGAAGACTTCCCGCACCGCCTCTAGGCGGGCCTGGCGCTCGGAGGGGAAGGGACACCTGCGGAGGAGACGAGTGGGGGCGGGATTAGACAGGAAGAAAAAGGTTAGGAGGGAAATCCCATTTAAACGTGACTCAGACGAAGCCTGGCAAGATTTCACAAGAACAGAGCGACAGAAGCCGCTTGGATCAACGCCGCAAGGCGCGTCTGGATTAACCACAGAGCTCTTCATCATCATCATCATCATCATCGTCACTCGGCTTCCTTTCCTCCCAGTTCCCTCCAAATGAAGAAGCTTAGCGGATATTACTGAGATCAAGCAGACATTAAAGAGTGACAGTGGGAGGTGAGGGGGGGGGCAGAACCTGGTGCAAATAATGGCCCGGTTCAGTGAGGGGGGGCAGAGAGTTCCTCTCTTTTACGGTTCCTTGAAGCAGATGACGTTTTGGTGAAAGTGCTGTAGCGTCTTGGGTGTGGTGGCTCACTCACAACACGAAGGCAATTGGACGTTCGGGAAGGATTCCATTTATTCTTTATCATGCACAGTGAGAACCCCCCCACCCCTACTTATGCATCCAACAGATGTTCACTTCTTTGCTCTCATAATTGTTTGTGTCACCTTCTATACTGTACTATGCAAGTCTGAATGAATTCCAGTAACCGTACAACGATGGAAAAAGTGAATACTGATGCACGGCTGTACACATGCAGCATGTATGCTGATCCTGATCATCCCGTCGCAGTACTTCACTGACATTGAGCAATCGGGGCGAGCTGCTTTTCCTCAGTAGGAACAACAGAAAACATGCACAGGGTTCGCTCGGGAAACCTGGTTGGCCGAGGCTTGGGATGAACCGGTCGAACCTCAAGGCTCCAGCGGGGTGGAACAGTGCTACTCACATCCGGCCGCTGGGTCCCTCGTCCTGAAAGCTGAAGGGCAGCGGGGAGTCGTAGGCGGCAGCCACGGCAGAGGAAGCGGAGGAGGCCGAGGCCAGAGGCGGAGGGAAGTTGCCGTGGTCGTGGATGCTGCCGCAACCCGAAACTATCTGCCAGCTCCCGTACTCCGTAGAGAGGGAGGACCCGGACCGGGTGTAATCTGCCGCTAACCTGAGGGAGACGGAGGGAGAGGGAGTTGGCCACTCGCTGACCTGCCCTTCAATTAGCTCTGAGAGCAGCACATCTGGACCTGCACCACAGCGCTGGAGCCTCTCTAACCCGCCGACGGCGAGCTGCACGGGGAAGCCTCAAATGAAACATGATCGCCCGACCTCCTACTGTCCCGACCGCAGTGAGAATCACGCCGTCATTGTATTTCCGCCAACGCCGGCCCTCTAGGCGGAGCTGCGGTCTCCGGCCGAGGGCGTAAAAACGAAGTGACTGACCTCCTGCCGGGGACGGCCAGCGGGCTGCTGCCGGTGCGCGTGGCGGCGTGTTCCGACTGGTTGGAGGAGGAGGAGCTGGAGGACCTGGCCTCGCTCAGGGGATGGAAGAGGTGCTCGTCCAGAGGGTGCGGTTTGTTGCACACCACCATCTGAGGAGAGGAGGCGGGGCCTTTCCTCCTGAAGGGGAGGGGGGGGAAGTGGTATATTTTACTTTTGTTACATCAAGCAATAATCATTATTCAAGTGTTTTTCTTACTCTGGAGGATTGAGTACTATTGTGTGTGTGAAAATCAATCGCAAATATTTGAATATTCTGCGTCGCAAAGCTCCAGCTTGTTCAGAACGCTGCTGCTAGAGTTCTAACAAAGACCAAAAAATACGAGCACATTACACCAATTCTTAAATCTTTACATTGGCTCCCAGTATGTCAGAGAATTAATTTCAAAATCCTACTGCTCACATATAAATCACTACATGGTTTAGGGCCAAAGTATATCACTGATATGCTTCCAGTACATAAGCCTTCAAGATCACTAAGATCTTCTGACACCATCTGTTAGTGATTCCCAGAGTAAATACAACTCATGGGAAAGCATCATTTAGTTACTACGCAACAAACAGCTGGAATAAACTTCCTGAAGATTTAAGACTTAAACTCTGCCCACGTTTAAAACAAGACTGAAAACTTTATGTTCAGCTTCGCCTTCTGCTAAATTTGACCTACATTGCACTTTTAACCTCTGCTTTTAATTTAAACAATTTAAATAAGATTAATTTATAATTTTATTTGCTGTTTTTAATTGTCTTTTAATTCCCGCATTTTATTTCACTTTATTGTATGAAATGTTATGATGTGAAGCACTTTGAGTCTGTCTTGTGTATGAAAAGTGCTATACAAATAAAATTGCCTTGCCTAGAAGAAAAGAACGTGACATCATGGCTGATTTTTTTTGTAAACTACCGTTTACCCCGAGACGCAGCCTTCAAAAATAATAAGGTGCATCTGTTAACTTTATTGTTAACTAAATTAAAAAGATTTCTAAGAATTCTGTGAGGCTTTCGGTGTGTGTGTGTGTGTGTGTGTGTGTGTGAGAGACGCTGACCAGCTGGAGGCCTGGGGGAGGCTGGAGAACAGGTCCGCGGCGTCGTTGGTGAGGCTGGAGGCGGCGCCCGTCTCCTCGGCGATGAGGGAGAAGTCGCTGCTCAGGCTGGTCACGCTGCCGCGATCCCTCGGCTCTGAAAGCACAGACGCGTTATGGTTGCTGGTGAGAAGTCGCCTGCGCGCGGCGCGGCGAGGACGCAGCGGGAACTCACTTAGCTGGCAGAGGTCTTCCACAGTGAAATCACCGTCTTTGACGTGGGAGTTCTTCCTCCTGAAAGGTTAAAAAAAATGATGTCATGTTTGCTGCGTATTCAGACGCATTTTCGGGTGTTATTGTCAACTTTTAGCAACAGACTACACTGCAGCTTTATGATAAATAAAGCTTTAAGATACTCAGATATCATAGCAGAAATGTTTAGTGCATATAACACGAGAACGGAGGTAAACGGCGGAACACACCTCGGTTTCCTAACAGCTGAGAACTTCTCTGAGACGATGTGCTTCAAAAAATTGAAGCAAAAAAAGAAAATCTGTGGGAGCAGAGAACATGTTGGACCAGAGGTGAAACAGATGTAGCACAGCTGGCTGACTGGACTCCATGAAGAAGTCCTCTCCTTTTGATACTTGGGACGGATCATCATAAGAGAGTAATGTTGATGTTTTATACCACAGACGACCATTATTCCCTTTAAGCAGGCACTGATTTGAATTCCTTCTTAATTATATTACTAACTACAGCTTTGTTTTTCACAGGATTCTGCCTATAAAAAGTATGACCAGGATGCTTTTCCATGTCGACCATGGAACTGGGATCCCGTTCTCGTCTTTCTCTTTTCCCCGCGAGAAAATGAATAATAATGGCGTCTGTGGAGCGAGGAGGTCGAGTCGCCCTGATGGCGAAGCAACTGGGTCGTCCGCCAAAAGCCCGTCCGACGGACACGCCCGAAGCTTCAACAAAAACATGAAACTTACCTCCTCCCCTTTGGAGAGTCGATCTGGCAGCATGTGACTGGAAAGAGAAAAAAAAAAAGAATAAAGTTCGTCTCGCTCACATTCTTTCACGTGAAAAACTACAGAATCTCACATTCTCATTTGAGCAGCGAGTTTTAGAGACATGATAATCAAACAGATGTAACTAGGGCTGAGATAGAAAAGGGGAATTTTGGAATTATGGCAAAGCGGGCGTCTAATTCAAAGACCCCTGCGGGGATCCTGTTCCTGTAGAACTTAAACCAGAGACGCACTCTGAAGTATTCGCGCCGCGCGCGTGCGGTTTGTCGGTTTCTTACCCAAAGAGGAACCAGTCGTAAGCGATGGTCAGGTACAGGATCTCGGCCGGCTCCAGGCTGGCGTGCACGGCGCCGTCCTGAGAAACAAACGCAGGAGGAGAGCGAGTGAGCCCCCCGGGACGTTTCTTATTCCGTTTACAAAGCGGCCCAGCGGCACAGTTTCACGGCACGCGGCGTCTCGAGGGGAGGAGAAGAGGAAGCCGGGACTTACTGCCCACAGGGAGAGACGCAGCAGGGACACGAAGAGAGGCGTCCTGTCCCAGCCGGATATGCAGTGCACCAGGAGGCCGCTCTCGTCTAGAAGGACACACAACATCACCGTGGGGGGCAGGAAGACACTCGGAAGGCCAATGCGGGTCAAACCACTGACAGCGAGAACCTTTGGTAGCGTTTCCTCGCCAAGAATATTGGGGGGTGGGGGGGGGGGGGGCGCTCACAAAGGTTGGTTTTGACAGCAGGCAGACAGCAAGTGTAGTACAATGTCTGTGCCGCCGCCCCCGACGTCAGCAACCAAATCAAAGATTTCATCCAAATAGTTTATCTAAATGTCTCGTTTAAAATTGACTTTTAAAAAAAAGTAACTTGGACTTTATTAGAACGACATATGAATACATGAATACATACATGTATGTATGTGTATTTTGATGCTAAGCACATTGTGCCCAGGGAGCAACTCCGGGTTCAGTGATGTTCACAAATGTACCACGATCCTCACAGACGCAACCTACCATCACGGTTGATGATGTGGAGCAGCAGCTTCAGGTAGTTCTGGGTCTGCTCCACCAGGTCCCACGACTGAACACACACACACACACACACACACACACGTTAGGCAGCGTGAAAAGGTTCTCATCACACCAGAAGTATTCTGCGTGTGCTCATCTGAAGCCCTTTGCTGGTTGGGCAACAGATGGCGCTGACACCACAATAGTTAGAGACATAGAGACAGAGACAGAGACAGACAGACAGACAGAGAGGGGGGGGGGGTGTCGGTACCTGGTATCGAGTCCAGTCGATGTTCAGGTTTGGAGTAAAGCACGTGGGGATTGTCAAAGGAGCGTCCACAAAGTCCTGGAGGAGGAGACACACTCGTCGTCACATGGGGACAGAGCCGAGCAGCCGTTAAAGGACGGGACGGACGGACAGACGCTCTACCTGATTCCAGTTGAACACCAGACCTTCCGCTGTGTAGTCTCGGTCTTTGTAGTCCTTAAAAAACTCACACCCTGGGGAGGAAGAACAGTTTGGTTTCTGAATGAAATGAGTGAATGAACATTTAGCTGCCGTTTCAGCGCCAGCACGAGTCTACACATGGGGGCCAGCTGCTTCACATTGGGAGCTCACCTGGGTAAGGCACAGAGAGCAAGGTGAAGTCTGCATAGCGTTGGACCTTGTCGGCCTTCTCAGACGATGTCACGCTGCAGAGAGACAGGTGAGGTACATTGGGTGAGTGTTATAATACACAACATGCCCAGAGTCAAGAAAAACTCTGTTATTTACTGCTGGAGATCAGGATTAGACTGGTTCACGACCAGGTAGAAGTTCCTTGTATCAACTTTAAGCTACAGCACGGTGACCACTGAGGCCTCCACAGCGGGGCGGCAGATAGCACTCAGGATGTGGATGAACTGGTCTGTTCTGCTCCTTACTTTAGGCCAAACTTAACCTTCTTGTTCTCCACCATCAGGTCGCAGATGTAGCGGACCGAGAGGTAACGCAGCAGCTTGATGTCGAGGCCTCGGACCTTGTCAAAGAGCTGCGAGTCCCCGTTCCTGAGAGGGCGAGAGAGGCGGAGCAGTACAGTTGAATGAGGTACAACGGTCCAAGCGGCGTCTCCCGGTTTAGAAGCTCCCGTGTGACTCGCACGCGTTCGCTACTCAACTACATTAGTGACGTTGTGGGTTTTTCCAAACAGAAACGCCCACTGGGCCGTCGGCAGAAAGCACCGGCTTGGCTGCCAAACGCTAATAAATGAGGTTTCGTGTAATCCGAATGCCGGCGAATGAGCATTGACATGTTAATGTCGCGCGGCGCCGCGGGTAGTGATTTAACCGCTTCGGGTCGCCGTCAGAGGAGGCCGTCCGGCGCCGAGCACCTTTCCAAAGACAAACAAAGAAATGACAAGGACACAGATGTGACCTCTGCTGGGATGTGACTTTCATGGCGGAGCTTCAGTGGCCTTCGGAGAGTCTGAGAGTCAGGTGACGTTTGGTAAAATAGAACTTTGATCGGTGTGTAAATGTTTGTATGTTAAATACACATAAAAACCGTTTGATCACCTGACTGCACTGTCGTCCTCCAGAACCTCCTCCGGCTCCGTGTCATCGCTGCCCCCTGGAAACAGCACAAGGACCGAAGATGAGCGTCTCCGCTCCCTGCGAGACTCAAACCGACCAAAGTACCGCGTCAAAAATACAGTAGTACCACTAGTAGTGCTGCTATTTTTTCCCTCTTTTTGGGTCCTTATTTTTTTGCGCGTTTGTCGCTCTTAAAATGTTTCAAATCCTCAAACTAATTTTTATATTAGACAAAAATAACCCGAGTAAATACAAAATGCAGTTATTATTAAAAGAATATAAGTATCCAAACCTTGCTGGCCCTGTGTAAAAGAGTAATTGGCCCATAAGCCTGATGAATGGTTCAGCCACAAAGGTTGGTTTGAGCACAAACGGGTTTTCTTTGTCTAACGAGAAATGTGTTTGATGATGAAACATTTAAGATGACAAATACGCCAAAAAATAAGAAACCAAAAAACAATCACAGCAATTTTATATATATATATATATATATATATATATATTATATATATAATATTATATATGAGGGCCCAAAAATTAGTCAAAACCGTACTAAAAATCACAACACTAGCTTTGTATGCAATTTTCCCAAAAAGAATGACATTCGACAGGTGGATAATCGGGTGCAACCATAAATATGATCCCTTTGAAACAAATGAAAGGAGACATGTTCCCGCTCGGCCAGCAGAAAAGCTCAAATTTCTGTACTTTGGTTCTATTGGTCGATCTGTGACGACAAACAAGCGATCGAAGCCAACAGTTAATTCCATTGACATTTTTGCTGGGGTTTTTTTAAAATGTTAACTAGATCAAAACATTACCAAATTGATTGAGTAGATGAATTAATAACGAATGGGCTCACGTTGTCTGGAAACAACCCTGGAAAACTATTGTCACTTTACGGATTCTCCGGCTGCTTTAGAGGCTGCGCGGTCACACTCGAGCTATTGATTTCAGGCTCCAATCCATTCTGTAGAGCCTAAAATCACTCATTTGTCTCAGAGGGCTTTGCGGTCCGTACACACGAGACGGCCACTGTCCTCCGCGCCAACTGGTAAGACAACGTGAATATCCGTCCGAACAAACAGACCAGTGTTGCGTACTTCCCTCCAGCCGCAGCGCTTTACGTTTCTGAACGCCAGAGTTTGTTTCAGGATATTACCGTACGTGCCGGCGAGACGCACGTCTTCATACTTGTTGTACTTGTGAATGAGGCTACGAGAGCGAAAAATGAGGAAGTGCGATCGCCTACGGAAAAAAATAGGTCGGCGTGAACTTCCTCTGTTCAGGCCAAATTTAACTCCTCACGAGACCCGAGACTTCCGTACCGAGTCGACCGTAAACGTCTACGTCTCGGGACGAGAGAAGACGTCGCTGGCAAGACTTTGTTGAGGTGAGCGGGACGAGGGGAAAGCGAACGTTGGCAGCAGAAAAAAAACGGCCAAAGCGCCAGTGTGACGAGTCGCTTGAGCCACGTTCATCGTGCAAATACGCTTTTCACTCCAGTTCTACTCGAAGGTCGTCGCATTGTGTTGGATCCAGTCTCGTAAAAGTTTTGGAAACTCAAAGACTTGGCACATAATCACAGATTTTTACTCGTTGAATTGGGTCATTTTCGTGGGGATTAGTTTTAGAAGACTAAAGCTGGTGTGTGTGTGTGCGTTTGTGTACCTGAGAAGATGTAGTTGTAGCCCGTGCGTCCGTACAGCTCCCCCCATCCCGCCAGAGTGGACGACCGGCAGATGTGCTGCGATGTGGGAGCAACAACAGGGAATCAGACCGTCGCCTCTTTGCCCAGAACAGACCAGCCGGAATAAGAAAGGAGGTTCTTCTACGTTCTGGTTCCAAGGCTGATATCATAGCGGTTTCACATTGCGTTGATGGTCTCCATCTAAAACACGCCCACGTCAGGAGGAGTAAACGACAACAACGACAACAATCTGACCGTTTCACTAGAACTGATTCCAGATGAAAAGAGGCCGATTGACGTTTGAACGCCACAGGCCACTCGTTCCTGAACGCATCCCTTCAGCCTCTGTGCCTCAAACGCAACTTGATTTGTGAGTCGCTGCTCTGATTGGTGCATGTGACATTCCTCAGGTTGACCGACCGGAACCGGTTTGTGTTTCCCGTTTGGTTGCCAATGCGGCCTGTTGTTGTGCCTGTGTGTGTGTGTGTGTGTGCGTGCGTGTCCTTGTGTATAGTTATGGAAACCTACTGGAGCAGGAACTACAACTTATAGGCCTGTAGTTGTGATCACAATGAAGGTCGAATTCTAAGAACACACACACATGTGTTGAATTTGGACATTACCAATAAACACACAGTGTGAGCGCTGTGCAAAGACTGCGTGCTGGATACAACACCATACAACACGGCTCCACCACAAAACGCCGCCACACCAGTTCACTGAAACCAGCAGCGCTGCGAACACAGATTTCCGTTGTTGTTGTTCAATCCGTAGACGATCGTCTGGATTAATCGATAAATAGTTTGGTCAATAAAATGTCCAAGATGACGTCCATAAATTGTGTGTTCAGAGAATTTGGTCTTTTTTCCCCTTTGAAACTGCCGTAAACTGATCAATTATAAAAAATGTCCTGTAATAGTTGAGGGCTAATTTGTTCCTGGACATTGGGGACGTTGGGGGACACCCAAAAGGAAAACGGAGCCACAACATTCTCTGGACGGAACGGTAATCTGATAATACTCATGGAACGGATCCCGAGGGACAGTAAATTGGGCGGACTCCTTTGTGGTTGAGCAGCAGCGGTACCTTGCCGTTGTAGAGGATGACCGGACAGACGAACCTCCCTCTGCAGCGCGCCAGCTTACTCCGGTTCACCAGGTCCTGCAGCTTACCGATCTGCACGGTGCTCTCAAACCTGCAACACAGAGCCCGTGAGAAGACGGAAGAACCACCAGTTAGTCCTCAGAATCCACCCATGAATCTGGACAGGCGGCGAGCTGCTGACACGCACGGCCGTCAGAGATAATCATCAGGCATTTTTGTGGGAACAACGCGTCCACATTAGCACTCCCTTGTGGTCTTTGCGGAGACCCTCTGACCAGTGGACCACCTGAGCAACATCAAAACCACTAAACAGTCTTCTTCAACCGTCTTTCAAGCGGGAAAACTGAAAATGCATCCTCGCCAACATCTGGCAAGCGGCTGGACGTCGCCGGGCAAAGTTCAACACAAATCCACCAGCTGAGCGGCACCGTTTTTCCCACATCCGGCTACAATGTGACATGTGACTAACCCGCCCCCCCTCACACCCCCGTCGCTCTGACGTGATCACAGCGGCTGGTAGATGTAGGGTAACCTTTGCTCCCTGTCCCCCAGTAAGTTGTGCGTGATTGGAGGAGGGACGCAAACAAACAATGGGTAACCGAGTGGACTGAACTTTGAATCGGAGAGCGATGGTTGGACTGAGGGGGACAGGGGGGTACCTGTCTTTCTCCACATCCGTGCATTGGTACTCCAGGAAGACGATCTGCCGGGGGTAATGGCCACACACTTCTCCGTTGGAGTTGTCGATGATGCTGTACTTGTAGTCTCTGGCGAACAACTCCAGGCAGCGCTTCTCGATCGCCTCCACCTTACGAAAGCAAGAATGGGAGAAGATGACAAACGTGGGCAGTGTTCGATCATATGGTCAAACGAGGAGGGATTTGCAAGAAGGGTAAATCCACAAAAATAAATGACATGCAAACTCAAAACCAGTGGCCCCTTTCCACAGGCAGCATGGTGGCTTTCTCATAACAACACGACAGGCTGTCATATCAGTGAACAGCAGCATCACGCACATAATGTCCACGAGTTGCATAAAAACACACAACATTCATGAATATTACGTGCATCTTAGTGCACCATGAGAATGCCGAAGAGCTGTGCGTCTTTAAAGTTGTTAACAGGTAAAAAAAAAAAAAAAAAATTACAACCTACAATATATTTCGGGGGGAATATTTCCAAGATCACTTTAATTGCCTTGATTGCGTAACACAGCTCGGATCATCCAAAGAGACGATGAACGGCTGTCAGGCAGCCGACTGACCCCCCAAAAAAAACTTACCCGAGGAGTGGCTTCCTTTGCTCTGTACTGCATCTTGGAGAACAAATCTATCAAATCCGCTATTTCCTCGCTCTTTCTGATCGACAGCCCGGGGGCCGCGTGGCCGCCGGCCGAGGCGAGAGACGCGGCCATCGTTGCACCGCGAGCCGCGGTTGAAGCCTCCAGCCGCACTCGACCGCCTTCAAACACCGCAGAGCCGTGTCCTGTGGAACGGGAGGACCGACCAGGCCATCCCCTCCCGGCCAGCTTCTGCCTGACGGCCCGCTTGAGGGGGCCGGAGCCGGGGACTCTTTCTGGATTCAGGGCACCGGCGTGCGGCTCCGCTGCCCGAACACAACCCGCGAGCCAGCCCGCGCTGCCCGGCTGCTGCTGCCGCCGCCGCTAGCGGGGCTAGCGCCGCTAGCTAAGAGGCTAGCTCGGCTAACGGGAGGTTTCCACTAAGTCAAAGCCCCCGGTAGCGTCATTTGAGATTATTAGTATATATTATATCCTCCGCCACGTTACCACAGTTTAGTTTTCGTTTGTGACATCGGGCGAACCTGTAACTGAACCCGGAGTCGGGATCTCTAGGGGATCTTTCCCGGCCCTGAGCGCGTTTCCTCGGTGTCACGTCTCCATGTCTCCCTGGTGACCACGGCGATAAGCGGGCTAAACGTTGTACACAAGTCACTCGCGGGGCAGCGGCTCCGCGACGCAGCTCCTGTTGTTGTGGACGAAAAGCCCCCCCGGCAGCAGACAGCGGTGTCGCAATGTGTGCGCTCCGGTATGAGGGCGCATCGGGCGGTAAACAGGAAGCGGACCCGGTCACGTGACGCGGCCGCCTCCCCTTTAAATGACGCGTGTTGTTGATCCGGTGAAGTCGGAGCGACTGTTTACTCGGATCCGTGTCCGCAGCTGCTTCTCCCACACAGACACACACCGTGAGGTGGTCCTTCAAACCTGCCGGTTAAAAACAAACACGATGTGACGAGACACAAGAGAAAACACCCTAATTCCCTCAGCAACCCACCGTTTTTTCCCAAAGTAAAGTGAAAATGAAAGAATAAAGTTCAATTTGAATATTGGACAATATGTTTTTTTTTTATATTACAATTCAAGAGCATTAGAAAAAACTAATACAAAATTGTGTACACAAACTAAAACAAAAAACAATTCTTAGGTTTAAGAGACTTATAAGAGCACGATAATAAATATTGTAGTATTCTAGAAGTAATAAATGCACTAACTTAATTGTGTATATATTATACGAGAAAAAAGGCAGTCCTTGTTTGTTAAAGGACCAAGACACGTGCTGCTGGACACCAGAGAAATTCCATCCATAGAAACTCACTAGATAAGTGACTTAAGGCGCTCTGGGACGCGATGGGATGTGAACCATAACACTTTCCATCCTTTGGACGAAGAGGCAAAGTTCTCGATGTGTTTGTGGGACATCCAGTTATGGTGCACCGGCTTTTTTTTTCCAATAGCGGAAAACCTCATATTCTAGATCGGATGTGGGAAAGTATGTGAGTCTATGCACCGATCTGATGTCCCGTTGTGAGTTAACGTTAGTCGCTCATTACTTCGCATCGGAGAGTGACACTGATTATACACGAGATTATCCAGTGTTGGTGTTATATTGATAAGAGAATCGGTGATGGGCACCAAACGCTGCTGAAACTGAAAACATGCATTAATTACACCATAATCACACATTACATTGATTACCGTTTACGTTCCAACGTGCAACCGAAATGCAGCCAAGAACGAAAGACCACCTACTTCCTCCCCCTCGTCACAAAAAGGGAAATATAAATATTTAACAGTCGTACTGTGCAATCTTTCGGGTGTCTTTCGTATTTCTCCCATATTTAAAATGAGTGCGCGCCGGTCGTTCCTCGGCTGCGCGCACGTAGAGAAGCTGGAGGACACGTGAGAGAGAGAGACAGACAGGGAGGGAGAGAGAGAGACAGACAGACAGACAGGAAGGGAGAGAGAGGGACGAGAGAGAGACAGTCTCCACAACCACAGTCACGAGGTTCGGTTTCGAGTCCTCGGAGCTTTTCGTACATTCGTCCATTCGCGCGGAACATGTGGGACGTGAAGCCGCGTCACGGCGCGTCTCCCCCGGATGCTTCGGGATCGTCGGTCCGGCGGCCGGAAAGCGAAGCGCAGCAGGCAGGTGACGTCGCCGCTCGGCCGATGTGTGAGCTTCAGTCACGGTCGCCTCCGACTTAATTGACTGATCGTCGGTGGGGGGAGGAGGGGGGGGGGGGGGCAGGATCTAGTTGAGCGACTGGGGGGCACTGGACCATTTGCACTTGGGTTTGTGGTGGAGGTCTTCTTCCTTTCTTTTTGTCTAAAGATAACTGCATTCCTTCCCCCAGGTAGAGGGGGAGAAAGGTGTGATTGGGGGAGCGGTTGGGGCTGCTGTGCGTGGGGGGTGAGGGAGGGGGGTTGTGGGGGAGAAAAAAAAAATGCTGCCTTCGCAGGAAGCCTCCAAAACCTACAATGACACCTACACGCGCAACTCCAGGGCCATCGGGGTCCTTTGGGCCATCTTCACCATCTGCTTGGCCATCATCAACGTGGTGGTCTTCAACCAGCCCTACTGGATCGGGGACAGCGCCAGCACCCCGCGAGCCGGCCACTTCGGCTTGTTCCACTACTGCGTGGGCACCGGCAACTCCGAGCGGGAGCTCACGTGCCAGGGCAGCTTCTCCGAGTTCGCCTCCATCCCGTCCAGAGCCTTCAAGACGGCCTCCGTGTTCGTGCTGATGTCCATGGTCCTCGTCGTCGGCTGCATCGGCTGCTTTGCCCTCTTCTTCTTCTGCAACACCGCCGCCGTCTACAAGACGTGCGCCTGGATGCAGCTGCTGTGCGGTAAGGCAGGATTCATCTGTTATGAAGCCGGAAGCAGCTCCACGTGAAGACTGTACTCGTATCCGGGGGGGACGAGATGATGTGTTGCTCCACACGCATATATACACTCAGTTGTGACAGACAGGTGTAGTAGCCGTTACCTGCGTGTACTCATGCAGAGGCATTGAGCGTTAAAAACCCATTGCATCGGTTCAAAGTGTCTCCGGCAAACCCCGGGAGATGGTTTCCATCGTGAAGATGAGGCCTTTTAGTTGAGTTTTCCTCCTCTGACCCACAAGTCCGGCGTTCTCAGTGACGGGACGCGCAGTCGCGTCGGGGCGGAGGGGGATTGGGCATTGGTCCGGAAGGGCTGACATTATCTGGGTGGAGGCTCTGATGGATTAGCGCGGGCAGCAGGAGCCAGCGTGGATGGAAGGACCTTTAGGAATCCTCGACCTCCTCGAGCTTATTTTTAGGTCGTATCTCCGAGAAGAACATTCATGTATTTAGAAAAGCGGAGTGATAAAACATGGTGTTGGTGTCTCCTTCCTACTTTTTTGAACCTAACGGGACTTTATTTTAGCATGATGAAGTCAAAGCTGCAGAAATGAGTAAACCGCGGCCAGCGCGTTCGCGGGGAGTGTCACTTGGTCGTGCATCTCTACACCTTTTTCTTTCCTTTTAGAAACAGGAGGTGTTAAAGTCTTCATCTTCAGTACTTCACAGGATCTCCCACCGTTATTCGTAGTGGCTTCAACGTGAACTTGTTGGTGTTGTTTCCGGTTTGGAACACAAGGCATCGCAGTAGTTCATGGATATTCCAGAGGAACTTCCAGATGATTGTCATCCCTCCTCAACCTTTTGGCAACGTGATACACCGTTATGAGCCAGCAGTTCCGTTGTAAAGTGCAGAAGCAACGGGTCCTGAAGTCCAGAGCGTAGCTTCTGATGACGGATGGCAGTAAGAATATAATATACAGGTTGTTATCGTATTGTGTCATATTGCGTCAAAATGAACAGAGACGCACTCGAAAACGCAAAAACAACCGTCCTAGTGAACGTAGCGAAGGGAAACGCCATCTTAACGGCTGAACGAGAGGCTGCAATGTTCCAGAAAGCCTCCGTTCACGCTCAGATGATTCAAAAGGGATTTTTCCCTGTCTTGCCCCTTTTCCCCCTCAACGGCGAGCAAACCGTGTCTTGTTTGGGACGATTTCTAAATGCCACACAAACTCAGCTGTGGACTCAGTGATCTGTAGATTAAAGGCCCCATAGGGGCTCAATGGGTGATTGCGAGTTAGCGCGGTTTAGACAAGTTCTGGTCATCAGAGTGACGTTCAAGCGCTTCCTCCTTGGATCTGCTCTCTATTTCCACGGAGACAAGCCACTTGTCTCATACGCAAATGTGAGATATTTTCATCACATGATTTGCATGTGAGCACTGCGGCTGGATTTGAATAGTCCTTTTTGCTCAGGAAGGTTCCTAACCGGGTTAAATGGCCCAGAAGTAGTGTGAGTGGTAAGAGCTGTTAGAATTCTCTAATGCTGAGGAGCATTCCATGTCTTTTAGCATAGGAACCACTCGACCATCCTTGACGAAAGGAGTTTATTCCCTTCCACAATTCCTTTATTCCCATATTTAAATAGTGACACATGAACCAACGATCACGGCGACGAGCTGTTGGCAAAACTCATTTATGTTGCAACCGTGTTATAAAACAACCAGGTAACACTGATGTCGTCTGCATGACGCACCACCGTGACAACACATGAAGGCACCTAAGAGGCTTCTTTGAACACACGCGTGTTCCGCATCACTGGTCTCAGCTGGTTAACATAATAAACCCATTGACCGTAAATGAACCTATAGACAGTAAAACAGTAACACAAATGAACCAATAGACACACATAGATGTACATGTATCTATTCTCTTAATAACTGGAAGACCATAATTACATCTACAGATCATAAATCAACCTATTTCAACGCAATTCAAGGCAACTTTATTTGTAAAGACAATATACATAAAAGCATTAGAACATAATGCAAATGAAACTGACATTTAAAAATAAATGAGGATCTTTCATTGAAACACCAACAAAGGTCACTAAAAACAATAACAAGCTAAAATGAGAAAAAATAGAATAAAAGTGCAGTGCAATATATAGTAGTAAAATACAGAAATGCAATAATAATAAAAAGCCACCACAGTTTCATAAGTATGTCGGTGACCTTCAGGAAACCTTCAGGCACCGTTCCAGTGTTTGGTTTGTCCGCTCTGGGCTCCCGTAGAATCATGGCAGCGCTACATCGTGGCCTCGAAGTGTGAACTAGGAATACAGTGATCCCTCGCCACTTCGCGGTTCACTTATCGCGGATTCGCTATTTCGCGGATTTTCATATTGCATTTTTCTTTTTTTTTGGTGCATTGTGCTCTGCATTCTGATTCGCTAAAAACTCACTCCCGAGCCGTTCATTACAGTTCTCCAACGTAATCGATGGTGGCATGTCGGTGTACAAGGATCTTTTTGCAAAGAAGAAAAAAGAGCGACAACAGCTGCCTATCACTATGTTCTTCTCCCGAACAAACACACCTGCACCGCGGGCTTCAGAAGAAGAGAACACTGCAGAGCGCAGTCAGGATGCAGCGGCCCAGTCTGAAGAGCAGTGAAACGGCCTACACGCGAGTCACTGTATTTGTATACATGTAATAGTTGCTAATTGTAAAAAAAAAAAAAGTTTTCTATTTCGCGGATTTCACTTATCGCGGGTCATTTTCGGAACGTAACCCCCGCGATAAACGAGGGATTACTGTAGTGTGTTTTGTGAGCTGAGCCCTTTATATCTACACAGCAAGATATAAAGGCTCAGCTCACAAACACACTATCCCTAGTTCACACTTATCATAATCCATTTCCGCTAATAGATCCCAAAAATACATAAATATTTGACCTGTAAAATGTGCAGTAAGAAAATAAAGCAGTGGGGTTTGGAGAAGTGGAAAAGGGGTTTGAAATGCATTGGAGGTCAGTCTACCAACACGGGGAGAAGGACGTAGAATATCGACGCTAAGAAGGAACGCTGCTCCACTAGATGGAAGATGAGGCCGGTTTCTTTGTGACTGTGTGAATGTTTCAGCAGGGGAGCTGATGCTGTCTGCTGTGTGTGGCCGTCTCCTCGGAGCCTCTCGCGATCACGTGACTCCTCTCGTCCGCGTGACAAACTGAGAGAAACACACTGGCCGTCCGGCTCACCCGCAGTCATCCCCTCCAGCCCCCCCACACTCACACACACACACCACCATCCCTCCTTTTTCATTGGTCCAACCAGTTGCCACGGCAACGTCGCTCTGCTTCCCTCGCAGCCTTCATGTGCCTGTACCTTCTTATCCTCATCTCCTTCTCCTCCTCTCCCCCCCCCCCTGTGGTTCATCTAGACTCCTTACTCACTCCCCCCTCACGCATGCTCCTCCTGCTCCTCCTGCTCCTGGTTTCCCCTCTGTCCTCCTTCCCTATTCACACTCGTGATGTGATGGATTCAACAGAGCGGTGTACTATACGGTATGTCGCACTAATTGAGCAGACAGACGTGTAAATCACACACACACACACAGCATATAATGAAGGGGATGTTGTTTTTTGAAACGCTAAACAGCAACTAAAGTGGAATAAAGAAGAACATTTCATTGCATATAAATGTGCTACATTTTGAAATGGTATCTAAATCTACACATGTGAAGAAATGAAACGTTCTTGATTCTTGTTGTTCAGTGTCTGGACCCTCTTTGTGTAACGCACCTATTGCAAGTCGCTTTGGATAATTTATTAATCACAATTTTCTTCTACGACAAACCACCTTAATCCTTCTCTCATTAGACAGAAATAGAGCACAATACAGCAAAGCAGGATCTGCTGGGAAGTTCAGTGATAAATAAGTCAATTTTCAGCTTACAATAACTGGGAAATTGGCAGAACTCAAAAATGTCTGCAATGTTCTATGTTCAGCAATGCTTTTTTTCCTCCTTCTCCAGTCGTCATCTCGTATAGGTGGTGCATTCATTCACGTACACACTGGATTTGTGCTCTGAAATGTCTCCTTCTGACTTGTTTGTACACTATGAATCCTTGTTATATTTAGTATGTTCCACAGTGTGTTATGTGCGATAGTCCTGCAGCTCCCTCAGAGACTCTGGGCCTGGACGTCGGCTGGGCTCCATTCTGTGCTGCTCGGTGGAGTTAATATGGGATCTGTGTGCCAGCCTGGTCACTGCTGGAGCCCTACACATCAGTGCAGACTGCACACACACACACACACACACACACAGTCCTTCCAGAGAAAATGGGATAATAAAATGTCAAGCAAAGGCCACCTGATGTAATGTGGAAGCGTATAATACACACATTTGGAATGCAGTTTGTGAAGAGGAAAAAAAGCATCAGAAGGAATCAACTAAATACCAAAGGCAACATTAAGAAACAATTTGTGCTGCATTAGAAAATATCTGCTTCTTTCATAAAACGTACAACCTTCAATCTGAGTACGTAGAAGAAGTTGGGGGATATAAAATATGAATGCTTTTGTTCATTGGTTGCAATTTGCAAACAAAACAACATTAAACGCAAGTCTACAAACCATCACGACAACTCTGTGCACTTGTTATACTGAGGCTGTGGTTCAAACTGTACTTTTGAATGGATGCGCGGTTGGAGGGGGAATAGAAGAATAATATTCTGTGTTCTCTCCTCTGCTTCTCGTCTTTTCTCTCACTTTCATCTCGCCGACTTCACGTCACCGTTTGCTGTTACACCTCAACCTCCCGTATTGATTTTCTCTCCCTGCTGCTTTTCGATGGTACACAACGGCATCACTCGCCCTGCATGTCATTGCACACACGGCCTGACTCGAACCAAATCCCATTACACCGCTCTGTGTGGGACCGCTGCGCCCATCCTGCCACTGTCACTTCAAAAATTCATCTTTCTCTTCACCACTCTGTCCTTTGTCTCCTCGCTCCTCCGTACTTCCTCCTCTGCGCTCCAGCCGTGTGTCTGGTGATCGGCTGCGTGGTCTTTCCAAACGGCTGGGACTCGGAGGTGATCCGGGACATGTGTGGGGAGGACACGGGGCGGTACGTCCTGGGCAGCTGCTCGGTGCGCTGGGCCTACATCCTGGCCGTCATCGGCATCTTGGACGCCCTGATCCTCTCCTTCCTGGCCTTCGTGCTCGGCAACCGGCAGAGCGGCTTCCTGCAGGAGGAGCTGAGGGCTCATGACAAGGGTGAGTGAAATCTTTGTCAAAGTGCACTGGAAAGAAACGCCAAGTAAGTGTGTTTGGTGGTGAGAAAACAATGCCTAATGTAACAGTGCCTAATGTAACAGTGCTTAATGTAACAGTGCTTAATGTAACAGTGCCTAAAGTAGCAGTGCCTAATGTAGCAGTGCCTAATGTAACAGTGCCTAATGTATCAGTGCCTAATGTAACAGTGTTTAATGTAACAGTGCTTAATGTAACGGTGCCTAATGTAACAGTGCTTAATGTAACAGTGCCTAATGTAACAGTGCCTAAAGTAGCAGTGCCTAATGTATCAGTGCCTAATGTAACAGTGTTTAATGTAACAGTGCTTAATGTAACAGTGCCTAATGTAACAGTGCCTAAAGTAGCAGTGCCTAATGTATCAGTGCCTAATGTAACAGTGTTTAATGTATCAGTGCCTGATGTATCAGTGCCTAATGTAACAGTGTTTAATGTAACAGTGCTTAATGTAACAGTGCCTAATGAAACAGTGCTTAATGTAACGGTGCCTAATGTAACAATGCCTAATGTAACGGTGCCTAATATAACAGTGCTTAATGTAACAGTGCTTAATGTAACGGTGCCTAATGTAACAATGCTTAATGTAACGGTGCCTAATATAACAGTGCTTAATGTAACAGTGCTTAATATAACAGTGCTTAATATAACAGTGCTTAATATAACAGTGCTTAATATAACAATGCTTAATGTAACAGTGCTTAATATAACAGTGCTTAATGTAACAGTGCTTAATGTAACATCCTCATATGTACAAAACTGTTACTTTGCAAGATACACAACGAAATATTGTTTTAGTTGTTGTGTCCTTATTTATATTTGGATACATGCATGATCGTATTTCACCAAAATGCTGCTCAAAGTTTTTTGGACCCACTTTTTGATCCGTCCAGACACAACTTGAGATTTCTTAAGAAAACAAGCTAATTAGGATCATTTTCACTGCTCCCTTTACCGAAAGAAAATCCGTTGATGCCATTTACTGGTTTGTTTTAAGTCTGTCGTTGCTTTTATGTGAAGTTTAAATCCAATGTATCCTGCATGATGATGATATTTATAGCTGGGGTCTTACAGGAGATGTTACTCATCATCGTGATGAGAGACAAACTCACTCACTTCCACTGGATGTATGGAGTTAGTTACTATGGTTACTGGTTAGATGATGCTGTGATTTCTGCTGCTTGCTCTTTAATGTGTTTGCCTGTCTCACCTTCTCATTCCATTCTGTGTACGTTATCTGTGGTGTTATGAGAGAAAATGTTGAGGCAGCACAAATACATGGACTGTCACTCCACAGCCCAGTCGTTGTTGTTTCCCCTTTTCTACAGACCATGGATGGGTTGACTGCTGATCATGTGATCTTTTTTAGTCTTTCTCCACCTTTGGGCATCTGGGTTTGTAAATGGAAAAGTCTTTGGTGGAGAAAAGCCGTGAGCACAGCAGCCTTTGTAGTCGATTTAAATTCAGCTAAAGGTCAAATATTAATCCCACTCTTTTTGTATTTGTTTACAGATGTTGATGTTTCAAGGGTAAGTTCACGTTGTTGTTGTTGTTGTTGTTGTTGGTGTGCTTTGTGTGTGGCGTCATTATTTCCTGGCTTTAGCCACATAATAATAATATTAAGAATTGATATCAGTGTTTCAAGTGTATGCAAAATGTTGCAAGTAAGAAACGTTTACTGTGTGATGCTTTATCATAAAAAAATGTATTATATTGCACCATTTCCTTCCACTTTTGAGTAAAAGTTAATAGGCGGCGTCATTGCCTCCGGTTCATTGTCCCGTGATTTTGAGATTGGGATAATATTGAGATTATTCTCATCTCATCACACAGAGCAGCTCCCGAGGTCGACAGTGTTACTAAATGATAAATTCCATCTCCACCGACTGTACAGACGTTACCGAAGATCAGAAACACGCGCCGATCTAATGTTACGACTCCTTCCTCCCTTCAGCTCCATCTCGGCGCCTCTCTACGAATGGCCGCGGTGAGACCGACCCGTTTTCCCGTACGTCGATACGACATGTTGATCCAGATGTGCAGCGCGTCGCCTTTGCCTGCGCTTGCATCTGTCCTCTTGTTGTCCTGTCCCGTGTCTTCATACAGAATCATCGCTAATCAGCAAACAGCAGCACGGCCAGCGATGTTAAATATGCAAAATACAGAAAGTACACAGAATTAAGAGCGGATGCTCACAATCTAGTTCATGCAAAACTCAAATAATCTGACCAATCAGATGGTCTGAACGAAAAGAAAGGAAGAATTGTTTGAGACGTTGTTCAGAGTCAGATAAGATACCCGGCAAAAAACACACCTTCCTTATAACTGCTGGGAGTCTCACACATTTAATAACTGTCATTTTTGAAAGTTCGCGGCTGGCCGAGGGGGGAGGAGTCAAGTTCAGCCCTTTAACCTTTTAATAATTATTTATATATATAAGTCAATTCAATGCGCTTCATGTAAAACATTGTTAAACTAATTGCATAATAACCTTAAAAAACACATATGAATACAACTGGAAACAGTAATTTATGGAAAATGACAGAAAACGTGGAAGCTTGAAGAGGCCGTAGCCAGAATAAGTACAATTGAATCACAAAGGCAGAAAAAGGAGATAAATGTGTCATCAATCATTGATGTAGTTGTGACCCCGTCAGCAGTGTGTATTGAATGAGCATCCACCTGCGTATACAGCACACAGCGCATGAATGAGACCCGGCCGTGTCCCTGTGTCCCCCATATCCAACGTGTGTCCCCCCCGTGTCCCCTCCCTCTCACAATCAGCCACATTTCTTTGTCGGTTTCTCTCGGCTGAGATGTTGACGCCGTCTCTGTTCTTCTCCCTCAGATGGAAATCCGGGACAGTGGGGGGCCGGGCTTTGGAGTCCAGCGGTTCCACTGAGAACCAAACCCCCCCCCCAGTTCCCCCCGTCCGCTCCTCCGCCCGTTCCTCCGCCCGCTCCTCCCGCTGCTCCTCGTCTCTACGGAGCGTTTCAGACCAAACCCTCAAGGCCGAACTCCAGCAGCTTGTGAATTAGAACAGGGGGGGAGGTGTGTGTGGGAGGGGGGGGGGGGACGGAGAGGAACGCATCTTGAGAAGAAGTGTCCCATTCTGGGATAAAACCAGTCAGCACACAGCGCGATATGAAGGTATTAATAATGTCGCTGTGCAGTGGGTGCGTTCTGTGCACATTTTTATTTTCATGGCTTTTTCCAGCTGTAAACTGTAACATTATATGCTGTGTGTGTGTGTGTGTGTGTGTGTGTGTGTGTGTGTGTGTGTGTGTGTGTGTGTGTCGGTGCTACTTCTGATAGAAGATGATTTTGTGCAGCCACAGTGTCATTTTGAGGTATTTTTCAGGACAATTTTCCACTTCTCTATGTGTGAGACTCGTATGTAACTTGTGAGGGTGAAAGCATTCATGTTAAAGCACTGAACATGAAAATCCCTGTGAGCTGTGGAATAGTAGAACAGAAGGTGTGTGTGTGTGTGTGTGTGTGTGTGTGTGTGTGTGTGTGCACTGTGACCTCTGACCTCTGTGAGCCGCCCGTCCTCCTCCACTTCATCTTCGTCTCGCACAGGAGGCACAACCGAAGGGCTGAAGAACGAGCGAGCGGAGTAGATTTTATATGCACCTTTTTCTCGATTCAGACTCAGTGTGGAAACTCGTTGTAGTTTCCCGCCGGGCGACTCGTCACAAACGCTGCCTGTCGGCGGGCGAGACAACTTTTCGTGACTGAATCCTGATCAACCTGAATCAAATGTCTGCAGACACTCATCGTTTCTACACACTCTTCACACACACATGAAGGCAAACACACGATGGAAAGCAGTACTGACCTCAAACCAGCAGCACCGAGGAAATGAGCAGTTCACCAGTTTTATGGAATCTCAGACACATTTTACCTTCCTGTCCATTTGGAAAAATGTGCTAACTCACATTAGCTTCAGCATCATCATTACCCTTGAAAACAGGCTCCTAAAGTTACAAATGTGCCTGCAAATAAAGCTGCAAGGGGTGAAAATAGTTTCTCAGGTGGGAAGTTTACACAGATGTCTCCCAACTAACTGCCGATTGGTCTCTTGGCATTTTGTCAGATGAACAAACATATTTTAAGTTGACTTATTGAAATAGTGATTATTGAGCAATAAGGACGACAGTTAAACCGACAGCGCCTGACACACTGATAGTTATGATGCTTCGGTATCATCTCTTCTATCAGCTGGATTTCACATCTGTCTCTTTAGACGCTTCTCTTCACCAGCGAATAACGTCTGAGGTAAAATAGACTCCTGTAAAGTCTCAGGTGGGATTTTAGTTTCACAAAAAATGTTTCCCTTTTCAACATTTTGAGCTTTCATTTGAGGTTAAAACTGATTATCCAAATATTGGACCTGTAAAATAGATGCATACAGCTTGTGACCCTTGTGAGGGGCTTAAGGCCTCGACTGGGAAACACTGGAAAATAGTTATTTCTGCCTTTAGCAGCATTAGACGTTATTGTACTGGTTCCTACGTTGCGCGCTGGCCCTTTAAGACGTGTGTTTGGTCCCCCAGTCGTCCCAGAGGACTCCGTCTCTGTCCTCGCCTTCTTTTCTTTTCGTATCTGCCCACAAATATGTTTATTTGTTCATTCAGTTGTGCACTATAAATATAAACTGAAGTTTGTGATTTGACCTTTAAATCCCAATATGAGCTTTTCAGTGTGTTTCTTTGTTGTTGTTTACACTGCTCTGCTGTTGTGATGTTTTGTGGTCATGGAGCGCTGTGATACACCACCTTATCATTATCGGTGTTTTATAAAGCAAATAAACGAATAGATTGACTATTATTGATCCACCTTTTCAATGCCCTTTATCAGTTAGACAATGTGAAGGGTTCTTCGTCCTTTAGCAGCACTGAAGGGAGAAAACCGCCTTTTGTTACACGCAGAGGCAGGAACACAACATCTGTATAATCAATGTCAGAATTATTGCCCTCACTGGATGAGTATTTTATGAATTGATGGGAGTATTGAAACATCGATGAATACTTACTGAAAGGGTAAAGATTGGGTGTGATTGAAGTAGAAACGGACGTCGTTGCAGCGATTGAACTACACAACGTTACTGTTCTCATATCAATTCAAATAAATAATGCATTTACTGCTTATGTTGGGGGGGGTTAGTGTTTTCCATGTGTAGGAGATCCGGATGTTCAGCCCCTCTTCACTACTCACACACATTAGGGGTTTACTGTGCCACCTGCTCTAAATGCATGTAGACTTGGGAAGTTAAAGGAAAGCGACCATGATCCCATATTTAGCCATAATGTTACATGCAAGTAACCAACCGGTTACTGGTTTCGTGGGCACATCTGTAGATTCAGCTCGACAGATTATTTTCTATCAGAGCCCAGATCGTAACGCATCACGGCCGTAGAGGTCGAGGTTCCTCTCCGCATGGTGACGGATTGTACTTTTAACTACAGGTGCAAAACACTTGGTTGAGTCGAGTCCCTCAAAATGACAAATCTCAATTGGCAGTTTATCAAAATACTTTACCATCATGATTATTTTATTATCAAATGCATTACATCTCTCGTTTCTTAGAACCATTTGGAGGGAACAATTTAAATAGTTACTAATATGATCTGTGTAAAAAATAAAACCAACTGACAGCAATCTTTACAAAACAAAGAGAACGCGGCGTCAGCTGTTTGGAGGAAAACCAAAGACGAACGACGGAGCCTAAAAACAAACGTCATGCGGTAAATCAGTGTCCTATGCTTCCTCCGTACAAGTCTAGATCACATTTCTTTCTATACAAGTACACATCATACATATTGCCCTGTGTTTCTCTTTCATTTTAAGGTGCTGGTTAATTTGGGGGCTATTTTTTTTTTAATCAACCTGTCAAACATTCATGTAACTCGAGTTCCCCTTTGTGTGTTGCCTGACTTGATTGGGGTGTGTGCAGGGGGGCGGTGGGTGGGGTCCAGTCTTGTTTTCAACTAGTGCGCCAAATAAAAAAAAATATAAGAGGAATGGGGGGGGGGGGGGGGGGGGGGGGCGCCGGCCATCAGCTCCACGTCACCTCGAGGTCCCACACAGATATCTAGATATACGTCTCCAGAGACATAGTGACACATCGATTACACAACGATGCCGTCATCTGATCAACAATCACACTCTGACGTCCCTCCCACGTTTCGCTTGATGTCCGATGGAATGCAACGTGCAAAGTGTACACAGCAGAAGGAGCTCGACAACGGGTGATCCTCTCCGTCACTCGGGTTGATGGGAGTGATTTCAGCTGTAATGACACGATGAATGCAGCCATGTGTGGGGAACTTAACTGGATTTCAAATTTATTGAAAAAAAAAACAAAAAACAAAAACAAGAATGCAGCACCATGAATCATAAGACCTGTATGTCTCAAGTACGATGTGAGGTCGACAGCCGAGGAGTCCTGATGTGAATCAGGCAGAACACGCAGAGACAGACAGAGAGGCTGTTTTTATGTTGGGGAAGCTGGCAATCATATGGAATGATGGTTTGCAGGGAGACCCTGCCCCCCCCCGCCTCTCTAATGCATCTTTAGAACGGATGATTAACAGGTCGCTCTATTCCCCCCATTTCCATCAAATACTTATTTACTGCAGCACAGACTCGACCACCCGCCAAATCAGAAAAAAAACCTAACTGACAAAAGAATAAAAATAAAACAACTCTTGCTTTCAGTTACAGATGCATCTTTCCAACCTGGGTACCACGGCGACAGGTACGGCTTCTTTAGAACTTTGTACAGACATTAGTGTGGAAGTTTTTACTTTCCGACATTAAAGCGCCTGTTTGCACAGTCCGGCACATGAGGAAACACTGGGGACAATTTCAAGGGACACGTGATGTCTCCTGCGCTTTGTGTATCCAAATCACTTATTCCACTGATTCTGTGTGTCCAAAGTCACTGATTAGCTTTGTGCACGATGTGCTACTTTGTTTTATTTTTTTCTGAAAATAAAGAAAGCGAAAACGGAAAATAAGAAAAAGGAGAAATCCGTGAAGTCCTTGCTCCTCTCAGGTCTGTACATCCCCCCCCGCCAAACTCCCTGAGCCCCCCGTTCCACCGCAGCTTGAGGGGTCGAGGAGGTACGCAGCTTCATACACACACTTACATACATACAACCCCCCCCCCCCCCAAACACACACACACACACACACACACACACAAGGTCCTAAAAGCTCCCTGACTGTGTCCTAACTCCGGGTCCCTGGAGGGGGGGGTGCTGGAACGGGCCGAGGCTCGGCCCCCTCTGCGGGTAGTGTTGTGTGGGTCCGCTGGCCGGCAGCAACCTGGAGCCGGCCTGCAGCGCCGCCTGGCTCGGGCTGCCCGACTTCAGCCCGGCGACACTCCCTCTGGAGGTGGGGGCGCCCGAGTCCGTCTTAGCCTGCGCGTGGGGCCGGGCCCCCGGGCTGGGAGCCCCCGCCAGGCCGCTGTTCAAAAGGCCGGCTTTTAAGTGGCCGTGGCCGCCGTCCGCGCTACTGCTGCCGCCCTGCTGGTGTAGCGAGCCCGCCGGCGGCCGGGAGTCCGAGGAGGAGGCGGGGGCGCGACCGGGGTAGGAGGGTGGGGGGTGGTCCTGGGACACGTGGCGTGGGTAGAAGCTCTGGCCCGATGAGGGACTGTAGGAACCCCGGAATGGAGAGTTGGAGGTCTGCTGGAGGAACGACGGGCTGTCGGTCTGCTGATGGCTCTCCGATGACTGAACACAGAAGAGGGATTAAATCAAGACACTCAGACTTCGATAGAGACCAGAGGAGTCGCCCCCTGGTGGACATCACAGAGAATGAAACTCACGAAGCGCTCACTTCATGTTTCAGACTTTGGGTGAGAAATGCTGCCCAACACGTTCATTAAAACCAATTGAAGTAAATAAACAGGAGGCAGAGGGGGTGTGTGGGCTACCTGGTGGGAGTACACGGAGGGACTGTATCCATGCGGACTCTTCATGGGGGAAGCCGTGGACGCTGCCTGCACCTCATACCGATCTGCATCTGAGGACACAGGAAACACGTCAGCTCGAAGCACAACACCAGCAGCCGGAGGTTCTCGTCCATCCACAGGATTCCTTCTCCTTTCTGTCCAGCGGGAGGCGGCGTCGTACCCGATTCCTTCTCCGCAGAGCCGTCGCTCCTCCTGTAAACCCGCTCCATCTTGATGCTTCTCAGCACTCGCTCCAGAGCCCCCTGACCTTCCCTCAGGCGCTCGACGGTGGTGGGGACCATCCTTGGAAGAAACACAAACCCAAAAGGTCACCTGCCAACTCGGATCACAACCAAAGCCACAATCTGCAAAAACTGCATCACGCAGACCGTGAAGTCAACGGTGACCAACAACTGTACGATTTAACACTTTATTCTAAACAACTAATTTCCTCCACTCAGAAACACTCCACGAGGGAGGTCCACGGAGGCACCGAGGAGGAGACACGTTGCACAAAGGCAATAGTTCAAATATTCAAAGCAAACATTTGTTCAAAACATTGGTAACAAATGGAAAAAAGGTTTTTTTTATTACTTTGATCACTGCAAGCTGTGCTAAACAGCCCCAAAGACACTCGTGTTATTTCCATAGAGACGCACAACAAATGAGGCGGAGCCAGAATAGATTGCGTTGTGTTGCGTCGGGGGGGTCGAGAGGCGCGCGCTCACCACTGGTTGTTGCTGTCCTGCTGTCTGGGCAGCGGCGACGGGCCCTGGTGGTCCGGAGGACTGACCTCCTCTATCTGAGGGATGGAGGGGGCGTGGGCCGCCGAGGAGAAGGAGCTGTGCGGGGGGGCCGTGGGCTGCATCGGATGGCAGCGGGGCTGGTGGGGGTCCTGGCTGTGGTGGGAGCCGGTGCGGGTGGGGGTGCCGCCGCCGCCTGGCTCCGAGTCGCGGCCGCCGCCCTGCTTCCTCTTGCGGTACTCCAGTAAAGACACCTGAGGGTGGAGGGGGGGGGGGGGGCTATTAAACACCTGGCGCTGAAGGTCTCGCGCGCACACACACACACACACACACACGTCATTCACTCTGATGTCCGCTGACCGAGTCACAGCATTCACCAACACGGCACTGAGTGATGGGCAGACGGCATGCACCACGCCAGAGGACTCACCTGACCGCGCAGCACGACGGACACAGCCAACAAAAACACACACAGCGGAATCACCATGGAAATCACCGTTGACATGAAAATGACCCCCGCGTTCGCCATCGGTGGTTCCATCCCACCTACGGCACACTCGTGGCCGCGGAGCGCGCGCCGCGCGTTCCGAATGCGCCGTTAAGTGACATTTGACGACGGCAGGCAACTTTGAACGCACCACCACGCCATGATGCAACCACGCCGACACACACACACACACACGCACGCACAACGGGAGGCCACTCATCCCAGCACAATGTCGTCATGACAGAGAGGAGGCGGAGGGGGTTGGGTGGGGGTGGGGGTGGAGGGGGTGATGAGCACAAGTCAGGTACTGACGTCTGAAACTAGAGATGATTCATGGTGAAGACAGCAAAGCTATGAAGAAACACAAGAAGGGGTCCAACCAGAATAATAGATATCTTAGACCTTTTGCTGTGATGGACAGCTTCACCTGGAGTGCTTCTCCATAAACAGGTGGGTCTCAAGTTCATTTGTTATTTGTGCCTCCTTAATGCGTTGCGTTGGAATATTATTATGTGAAGAAGCACGGCAGACCATCTTTACTTCAGGACAGGAAGGTCAGTCAAGCGGGAACATCAACAACTTTGAATGGATCCTGAGGAGCAGTCGTGAAAACCATCAAACGCTGTGAAGACGCTGGCTCTCATCAGGACCCCCCAGGGACAGGACGAGCAAGAGTTACCGCTGCTGCCCAGGAGGAGCTCATTAGAGTTACCCGCCTCAGATTAGAGCGCACATACATGATGGCACAGTTCAAGTAGCAGACACGCGTCCACATCCTCAGCGTGGATCAGGCCTTCATGGTGGAGCTGCTGCAAAGAAGCCTCTACTCAGAAAGCACGAGAAGACGAGAAAGAGACTGGATGTCAAACCCGTGGAAAGTCCAGTTGAGATCTTTGGTTCCAGTCGCGTCTTTGGAAGATGCAGAAAAGGTGAGCGGATGGTTTCCATGTGTGATGTTCCCCCCGTGACGCATGGAGGAGTGACTGTGTGTGGGGGGATCGGGGGGCAACAGGACGTAGACCCCAAACACACCTCCAGGTTCCGTAAGCCCAGCTTCACCAAGGAGAGTGACTGCGTCACATGACCTGGACCTCCACCACCCCCCCACCTACACCCATTGAGGGGGTCTGGGATGAGTTGGTCTGCAGAGTGGCGGCAAAGCAGCCAGCAGATGCTGACAAGCGCTCGGCACCCGCGGACCTTCTTCCAGACGGTGGGGAAGCATCCAGGTGACCTCATGGAGCTGCTGGTGACCTCAAAAGGTCCAAAATATAAAACAGATTCTGGCTTGAAGGGGATTTTTTTGTTCACATTGTTGTCTTGGCTCAGGTAAAAATACAAAACAGAAGGAACGTCTAAGGATCGTGTTACTTATATCTGGATTGGTGGATCTTTTCTTTCCCCGATCTGATCTGAAGCTTCTGTCTGGTCTCTGTTCAGAGGCTCAGTGTGGATCGGGTAGCAGGTGACGCTGGTTGTTCCTGTGCAGCATGTAAGAGCTGATCCACGACATGCACGCGAGTCCCAGCAAGCACTTTAAGCTGTAATCAGCATTTGTGATTCAACCCCCCAGCACTACATATCAAAGACACTTTGACTGTCCTGCTAGACGCGTTTTACTCAGTACTACTTACTGTACACGCAGTACACATGCGGTTTTATGACAGATGGTTAGCCCGTTGCTTAGCGGGAGGGAAACACCTTCGACACCGTGGTGATGGCGGCGTGATCAACGCAAACAGACGAGAACTCCACTACGCGTTTAGAAAGTGAACCCTAGCAGCTGGCTGCTCAAGGACACCTTTCGACGTCTAGAAGCGAACAACAAGAACGTATTTTAATATCGTAGTCGACTGAAGGCCATTCGAGCGAGCGATCCTCGACCTTTCAGGAATGTTGACCCACTGGTTTTCCTCCACCACCATCAATCTGTGGGTTTACCACAGCTGCCCCCCGAATGCAAAACAAAGCTACAATCAAGGATTGAAAAGACACAACTCAAGTAAAACATTGGAGGTGAGAAACTGTTATGTGTCCAGTGCTGTTGGGTCGAATAGTGATAAACCGGGAACGTAACTTTTGATCATCCGTCGATTCCGGTGGATCTTTAGTCTTTAGTCACTTCCGGCTGATTTAACAATAAAAGAAACAATACGTTGATTGAGCTTAGGTCTGACTGTCACACACGTGAATCCGAAACACAAAAAGAAAATGAGTTTGTTCATTTGAAAATGTATCTGAACTACTTATCCAGGCTCAACAACATGAGGCTTTCTGGGCCTGATGGACGTCATCTCACCTCGGTTATTTAGTCGGACAGATCAGAAGATTTGGGCAAAACTTCAGATTCATTTACAGAAATAATGGTTATAAATGGCAATTGCCATTTAGTCTTGGCTGTTATTAGACGACTGCTCGGGTTTCTGACCCTCTTCCTGACCGGAAGAGTGGAAAAAAACCCAAACATTAAATGATGACCCCTGATAATCAATTGTTATGCCCAGCAGCAGCCTTTAATACCGTCCACCTTTTAGGGAGGGTTGATATTTGAAATATCTAGAGATCTTTGGTAGAGCGGTTTCCTTCCTCTCAGCCTGACTGCCGACTCGTTACACGAAGAACATCCTTCACGTCCCCTGAGGACACGCACGTCTAGCAGCGCTGCGAGAGGTACAAGTGAATGGATGACGTAGATCAAGGAGACGTGGGCTTCACCTGCACGGCTCGTGACCCGTGACCCGTCGGCCCTCTAAGTCCGTTACAAGCAACGCGATGGATTTGACTGAAATGGCGGAATAAAGTACAAACTGTAGCTCAAAGCTATTGAGTTGTAATTCAATGCAGGTGAGGTGGACGGGGGAGGGGGGGGGGGCTGTCGGAGCATGGGGTGGGTGTTGTATGCAGATGCAAAGAAACAATATTTACATGCACACTTCTAAAGATGTAGTTGTAGGGAGAATATTCACCATATTTTGTACTGGCTTGTATTCACTTCTTACAGCTATAGCCTGGTAATCTGGCTTCCCTGTCAGCAGACTAATGGTATGCTGGTTGGCCCTCTGCCTTGGAAGAAAAGTGGAAGAGAGACTTGGCAAAAAGTGTCAAGGAGCAGCGAGGGGGGGGGGGGGGGTGGGGGGGGAGGGAGGAGGGGGGAGGGGGGAGGGGGAGGAAGGGTCAAAGCTACAGAGTCGAATCATTTCCGGTTAGAACATCACCCGCGGTGGCTGTTGGGGTTGACGACTTGACACAAAAAGGGACCAAACTGGTAGATTTACGACAAAGCCAAGGAGCAAACACAGAGCACGTCATGAGGTTTGGCTTTTCAGTTGGCACATTTCACACTCAAAAAGTCATTCGTGCTAGGAGAAAAAAAAAGACAACCGCTCATTTAAAAAGGAAGCAAAAACATGTTTCACATTGTCCTCATCGTTACGACGTGGAGAACTTGCCTTCTTCTTCTGCGGTGGGTTGCTGGTGTGAGGAGGCGTGCCACTATCCGGGTAGCCTCCTCCGTAGTGGGGCTCGCCGTAGGGCGACGTGGAGCCGGGGCCGGCGTCTCCCAGAGGCCCGTGGCCACTTATGGAGCTGTGGAAGGACTCCGCTGGGGAGAAACCGCCTTCGGACTGAGAGAGGTGGCGGTCGGTGGCCACGGGGTGGCCCAGGTTGGCGTTGAGGGGCGAGCAGGTGTATATGAGGTTGAACTCTGTCCTGAAGGGCTGCTCCCTGTTTTGGGAGGCCGGGTCTGAGGGGGGGCACGACGGTGGGTTCAGGTAGCTGGTCCCTACAGAGGATGGACCCTGGGAGTCGTGGCCTGAAGGGCCTCCGGGGAGGGAAAAGTCATCTGAGGTCAGCGCCACCGGGCTCTCTAGGCTGGAGGGGAGGGACAGGTCGGGGAACTGGGGGCAAGGGATGTCAAAGTCTGTCTGGAGACACGGCTGGAGGGAGAACAGAGTACAGAATGAATGACTGGTTTACAGCCTGCAGCGGTTATGCTGCGTTCACACCAAACGCAACGCCAATGTTTTTGTGTTTCAACTGAAGTCGCATCGAACTGTTCGCTCTATAATAACGCCTGAGTGGCTCTTAAAAGAGACGCCTGGACGTGCTTGAGCACATGGTGTCCTGCCCCGGGACAGTTCCCTCAGCCGAGAAGTACGACGTGCAGGAGCCAACGAGCTATCAAACGGGCTAACGGCTAACGGCTAGCCTCATGTACGGCTGGACGCAGTTCATGTAGAAAAAAAAGAAAAGAACAAAAAGACGACGGCTGCGAGTTTAGAACGTTTGAGGCGATGCAGAACCGTTGCGTTGCGTTTGGTGTGAACGCACCTTTAGTGCCAGTGAGACGGGAACGTACCTCAGGAGAGATGGACTCTGACCGGTGAACAGGCGAGGCCTCGGGGGACGAGATGTTCTACACAGCAAAGAGAAAAAACATTTAAATAAACCCTAAATATACTCCAGGACATGTTCAACTACTTAATATACATACATAGCAGCCCAAATAGACAATAAAAAGCACAGTAGCCAACGGTGGTGATGCGTTTCTATCCCGTTTTATTATCTTTCTATTGGCTGGCACAAAGCCTTGCAGCCACTCCTCTGCCCGCTCATGACATTATAAAGCTCAAAAGGTCATTGTGTCCAGCAGCAACAACCCGAACCAGGCTGAGCAGCAGAACCGGGGCGCACTTGGATTAGCTCAATAAAATGAACATTAATTGTGATTGCGTGATTTACCAACGCTGCACCGTGCGGCGCGCTCACCTCAAACTGCAGCGGCGTGTTGCAGCGGCTGGCGGGCAGCGACAGCAGGGGCGAGTAGATCCCGCCGTTGGGCAGCAGCGAGCCGCAGAGGTTGTGGAGCGGCGGGTGGAGGGAGTCGTCCGGGAGCGGGGGGGTAATGGGCGACAGCGGGCGCAGCATGTGGCCCGAGGGGGCCGAGGTCGTCTCTGACGCGTACTTGGAGCGGCGCTTCTTAAACGGGGCGTTGAGATCTGGGAAATGTGGAAATGACACAGGTGAGTTGAACAAAATGAGGGGAGGCGCGAGTCTGCGGCCTTCAGAATCGGTACCACCCAGCCGCCTCCTCCTGATCTAACGTTCACTCTGTGTCGGCATGAAAGCATCGTCCAGATTGAGGGGAGGATGTACGTACCGCCCGACTGGGGGTTGGGGGTGGACCTGCTACTGGTACTTTGCTGGGAGGAGGTGGACTCTGTGCCGTCCTCCACACTGGCTGAACAGCTCTCATCCTCCACCTGCTTTATCCATCTCTGCATCAGAACAACAGTAATGTGGGGTTAAAGATACACAGGAGCTCATTTAGAAGACATCTCAAAACATCTTTAAACTCACCCCAACCGCTCGTTTCATAATATGGGTTTGGATCGAAATGGACAAAGTACAGGGGGATGAAGTTACAAGCTTCACAAGGTAAATTACATTAAGTGACCAGTTAAGAAACATTTTAAATAGTTGCGACAGGTCAACAGACTTTAGTTAAAAGGTTCAGACTACTCAGGCATGGTGGGGCAGTTGGAGGTCCTTCTCCATGGTCAACTTATGGTAATAAGTTAATAATGCTTAATACACATCTAACAATGTTCTGTCATTGGCACATTTAAACATCGGATAATGATTCCGCCAACATGCGACGTGCTGCGCGTCCCACCTTCTTGTAGCAGCCGTACGTGCCATCCATCTGGAGCGGGCGGGGCCGGTGTCTCTCGGGGTTGAACGGGGAGCCGAAGCGGACGTAGTGTCTGGGCGCCGTGCAGATGAGCGACGAGTGGGAGAGGCCCGGCAGCATGTTGAGGGTCGTGGCCAGCACCGTGGGGTCAGTGGTTATCCGTAGCGGACGCTCATTGAGCGCCTCTTGGTGGACCTTCTCCTCTCTCGGGAACCTTGTCGTTCCACCACTCCGTCACCAGGTACTGAGAACAAAGACGGATGTGGGATTAAGTGGGAATGTACTTTTCTGGAAGCTACAAATCCTCCCACCGAGGTCTGACGTGCTCCAACCTTCTTGGTCTTCGGGTAACGCAAGTTGCTCCTGTTCATGCAGTTCAGACCATGGCCCTCTCCGTCCAGGAGGTGACTCCCCATGCCGCTCTCTCCGTGGCCGTGTTCGGAACCGTACGGGCCCTGAGACGCCTCCTCGTCCAGACAGGCCGCCTGGTCAGCAGACGCCGCCGCCGCCGCCATCGCAGCCGCCGCCGCTGCCGCCGCCGCCTGCTGCGCGAGGGCCTGCCGCTGCCGGCGGGCTCTCTGCGACGAACTCGACCGGTAGCGAGAGATCCGGCTTTTGGGGCGAGGCTTGGTGGGTCGTGCGGGTTTCGGGGGGGCTGCGGGAGCGGGCGGGTTGGGTAATGAGGGCTTTTCTTCAGCAGACGGCACTTCCTGAGAGGAATGAATGAATCATGAATAAAAAAGGGGGGAAAAGGGACGAATCAACACAGATGCACTAACTGGATTCTGCTCACTGACCATCACATAACTGGTGCGTCGTGTGCTGACCCCCACTCCGGCATTGGGGGGTGTGGGAGTGTTTCCAGCGGGGTTTCCTGCCCCGTCCTCACTTTCCACGCCCTCCTCCTTGACTTCTGCTCCTCCCCGGCTCTTGCGCCTCCTTTCCAGGCTGTTACAGGTCTATGTGAACAGGAGCAGGAAGGAGAGGAGTTACACAGAACATTCAATCTTGTGCGGATTTGTGGTGCTGGAATCTATTGTCACAGAGAGACGAGACCTGTGTGTCCGCGGTACTGATTGGTTCAAATGTCGTACCTTTTTACTGGAGACGGCGACTCCGTTTTCATCCACCTCTCCGTCCTCCCCCTCCTCCGCGTTCAGCTCCTCCAGCAGTCTCTCCTAACGGCACACGAGGAAAACATGTTACGTTTACACTTAAATCTAAGGATCTGTGTTTGACCGTCACAGGTATTAATGCCTTCATCTCAGGTACATCCACGGTTTAACAATAACCAAATCCACACTGGCATTTCAGCATTGTTCTAGAAATAACGGAAGAAGCCTGAAAACCAATACAACATCACTATCCACGTGCACTGGGCGTGTAAATAGGAAGTACAAACCATTATAGTACTCTATAATAATAAAAGGTAACGCTTGATAATTAAGATCTTAACTAGAATCGTCTTCTACAAACTCAAACAGTTAAAGCTGCAGGTCTCACTTTCTCTCACACATCAAATTGATATTTATATTGACACGTATAAATAAAGTTTTCCTAGATTATGAGTCAATACGTTTATTGAAAACACGTCTCTCTCGCTTGGTTCTGAAGCTTCTATTGTACTACTTATGTGCTGGTGGACATCATGGTACGCGATGCCTATAATTAGTCATCTATGTGGAGTAAACGCTCGTAGTCGATCAATCATAAAGGCTACCAATCAGGAAAGGACACGTTGGTGCGGCAAAGACCGAATCATGTAGGAAACGCGGTGGGTCTGCGTGAACACACACACACACACACGCACCTCTGCGTCAGGGCCTCCCTGCATTTCTTTGGCCTCGGGGTGCTGGTTCCGGTCACCAGCGAGGCAGTTCTCCAGCGCTCTCCTGGCTTTTCTCCGCCGGGTCTCGGCTCCTTCCACAGTAGAGAGCGGCGGCAGGGAGGGCGCGCTGAGCAAGCTCTCCCTGGGGCTGCGATTGTGCTTCTGCACCGGGCAGTTCTGGTTGCCCTTATGGCAGGCACACTCCACTTTGTAGTTACTGGAGGGAGGGGGGGGCAGAGGGGCGGATTACAATGGAGGACGGGAAACGAGACTTCCTGAAGCAGCAACTGCTCATGTAAAACCAACCACCTGATACAACACGTGTTTCTAGACAGAACATTACCACCGGGGTTTGACCGGCGTTACTCTTTATGAGGCTTGGTCTCATACAGGTGGACGGACGGAAACGTGTTAGGAGCTGTACTGACCAGCTGTTGAACTCGTAGTCAAATCCAATGGTGACCTCAGCATCCTTTGCGATTTGACCGACGGCGTAGATACACAGATGAATCATGCCCTCTGCGATCATGTGCCGGACCTGCAGAAGGGAACACATGCGAGTGAGTTGACTGAGTTAAAGGACTCTGAAAGCTGCACAGCGAGGCATCGAGCGTTGGCTGACCTCGGCGTTGGGTGTACAGGACCTCCGGAGGAAGCGGGCGTCATTTCCAAAGGTCCTTGCATCGACACACATCTCTACGTCATTAAACTTAGAGTAGAACAGCACAAAGGGGTAAGGCCTGGGAAGAAAGAAACCACGAGGCATCAGCACTGGGATCTGTGAGAGCCGCTGCACCCCAGACATGGAAACGGTAGCGCAGAGAAACACAACAAACAGCGTGAACTTACTTTTTGAAGAAGTGCCCGTTTACTTCAAACTGCTGTCTGAGCATGACCTTCCCCCGATACTCGATGACCAGTGCGTCTGGTTCCAGGTTCTTGGCTGCACGCAGGATCTTCCTATGTTTCTGCACTCGTGTTACCCGCCCCAACTGGAGCTGCCGAGGGCACATCACAAATGACTTGCAGAGGCAGAACATTTTGAAACATGTCCTAATAATGCAGAATAACACAACTGTGAATGGTTATTATCCAGGCAGGTGGCAGGATATATGGGATGAACATTAATAGTTTGCCACTGGGTGAGTGGCCTATGGATACGTGTATGAGGCCTACCAGCCTCGCCTCAGGACAAACTAGTCCAAGTTTATATACTTTGCATTAAATGAAATATTTACACACGGTTATTGACAAACCAGCTGATAAAAGACATTCCAGGGCTGACCTGCATCTGTGAGCCCAGCACAGTGTTGTTGCAGGCCAGCTCGGTGCGGTTGATGGTGTCCATGGTGTCGACTGAGGCGTGGATCAGCGCGGTGGACGAGGGCGTCGCCGCGTGGCTCTCCGTCTTGGAGACGTTGGTGCTGGCGGCGCGGTGGAGCTGGAGGAGTGTCTGGACGTCGGCGCTGTACTGGTTGGCCAGAGCCTCCTCGTACTGGTCCGTCCACTGGCGGATCCTGCTCTCCCATCCCTCTGCCGTGTTCTCGTCCAGCACGCTGGCCTCGGTTGTGGAGTTCTAGACAAGAGGACAAGACGGAGCGGGTTGAAGCATGGGGCTGTAACTAAGCGCGAGCTTAAAGGAGACACGCCAGCCGCACTTACAGGTTCATACTCGTGTTTGGGGATCCTGCTACAACACGTCATGATATACCCGTGTTCACTCTGACATTCTGCTTTAGCGCCGGCCTCTTTCTACATACGTCTAGTACAGCTGTGACATCCCGACTTCAAGGAGGTCCTGATGCTCCATTTAAAAAGGCACCGTATGAAGATGCTGCGTGTTTCTCCTTGGATGCTACCTTATTCTTATAGCACCTAGACGGACTTTCGACAATATAGGACCGTTAACGTAAACGTCAGGTTCACTCCAGTCCTCACCTTCATCCTCATGGACTTCCTAGAACCCTCTCTGAAAGCCTGAGGGAAGGAAAATAAACCCATATCAATACATGGACATGATAAGCAGCAGCTGCTCCGCAATAAATAACACTGGTGATCTCAATGAGGCAAGTCCGTAGCAAATAAAATAACAGCTCCATATTGGGCTCTGGTCTTCGAATGCTCTTAAATCTGTCAGCAGACACGTTGCTAAACTCATCCTGATCCTCTCTGCGTCCAACCGTTGCATACCTTGACCTTCTTGCTCTTCTGTGTTCCACGGGCCTTCTCTGTGCTCTTCTTTCTTTTTTTGGACTTGCTCCTTTTGACCCGGTTGACGGTGAGTTTGATGCTGGTGGGCGTATGCTGGGTGGCGGTGTAGGAGATGGTGGAGGGCGACACCTCTTCGTCCCCACTCTCGGTAGCACTGCTCTCTCCAGCTGCGAAGCAACCAGCAAAGAGTCACCTGGCGGCACTTTGCACACTGCAGGGAGGAAATGATTCAACCAATGAAAAGACAAAAGACTTACCGGAGACATTTTCAGGTTTTCTGTGTTGGCCTTCTGCTCCTTTCCTCCTGTCGAGACCGCTGCAGATAGAAGCACATGACGAGGTTGAATATCCGTATGGTTGAATCCACTTTTTGGATGTCGCTTTGGATAAAAGCGTCAGCTAAATGATATGTGATGTAACGAATATAAGACCTGACACTCAAAACTGAAGTTTAAAACAGGTAGTCGGTTTTAATCAAACTCCGGTGCAGTTGCTTTCTAACACTGTAATCCCACTCAAGTGAACTCCAACAAACTGCTGTTTGCTGATCTGAGCCAAAGTCAACACATGGAAAGTGCTGAATAAGTGATAAAAATCATTTACGATAATACTAGAGAAAGGATTCTAGCTACAGCAACTGGGACTGGGAAAAGGTTTTGACAATACCAATTGTCTATATCTGACAAATAGGCAGGAATACTCATACTTCATCATGGAAGGTTCCATGACATTCAGCAGTGGCCACACTACCCGAATGTGGAGTTTTGTATCTAATAAGAAGGAAACGGATGACGTTGATGCTGCTTCAACGGCGTCCTAATCCGCTCATCGGAAGGCCGCCTTGGGTCTCAAACCGAAGCCCCGATGAACGCAGGATGCGTGAAACACGACACAACAGCTGGTCTCTGACCTGCAGCTGTCACACTTGATGAGCAGGCCGTCCGGCGTCAGGCTGCAGTGACACCAGCTGGCCACGGCCCCGTCCTCCTCGGAGGAGCTGTCGCTGTCGGCAGAGTTGTCCACGGTGGCGTCGTGGTAGCGGGAGCCGCGTACCACGCCGTTGAGGTCCATGCGGGGAATGATGGTTTGGGAGAGCGGGGAGGCGGGTGGGGTGGGGGGAGGGGGTGCGCCATAGTTGTGATCCTGACAACACACAACGGAAGACTGTTGCATCTTCAAACAACGTGGGTGTTCAGGCAAAAAGAAAAAAGGGAAACGGAAAATGGAGACGAATGAAAATGAGGGCAAAAAAAAAAAAAAAACACAGGTATGTGAAACAGTACAGCTGTTAACAACAAGTAGCTTTAGGTTACAGGACTAATAAGATGTAAAACCACTAGCCTTAGTATTACAATAGAACTGGACGTGATTAGAAAACCAGAAGAGATTAAATGAATCATTTTAGCTTTCTAAATGTTTATTCACATCCATCTTTGAGGAATAGCGAGTAATGCTCATGTTGTACGATAAGACATGCTATGATTAGAATTGATGGTTGGAGAAGAACTGTATGAACTCACAGCATATGGTAGTCCACAATACCCATGACCCTGTGCACTGCCGCAGCTGTGGTTGTTGTAGTTTTTTTCATTCACTGCAGGGCTTGCTTCAACTGACTCAGGGCTGGCAAAAACAAACAAACAAACAAACAAACAAAGGAAACATTATTCTGAAGAATAACACATAACATTTCCTGGGAAAACAACGTTTTCCGAAGAAGTACATCAGGGGGTCACTAGGTGGCGCTGCTACCCTGAGGTTGCCTTGATCTTTGGGAAATGGAATGTGGTTGGCCATTATGTTATGCAACTCCTTCTGCCCTTTAGCTGAGGACCGGCCACAGAGCAGAACCTCCCGCTGCCCTTTGCCCTCCACATGTGGAACATTTCAAAACGCCAAAAGAAATGTGTCGTTTACACCCTTGGGTTTTGTATATTTAAGCATGTGGAACAGATTTTTAATTACAAAAAAGAAAAGAAAAAAAAAAAGAGAAAAAAAACGGACCTGCGTGACGGCATGTTAAATACAATACGTTTTTTTATACGTTTTTTTTTTGCGCTCGCGGTGTGTAGCGTTACTGTTCCGCTTGGTTACCGCTATGTTGAATCACCGTCACTGTCCAGACAGATGGGAAAGTCTTAGTTAACTCATAATCATAATCAACTCATGCATTTATGGGATGTTTTATGAATAAAAGCAGTTCCTGTTTGAGTGGGTGATTATAAGCGACTAGCGGTGAAACCTGTTAGCATTATTAACAAAGGTTCCGTCACACAGTTGCACAAATAGCTGCCCAGGCCAGTAACACACTGGACCATTGAGACGATTCAACAACACATAACAGGATGGGATTACTCACTAACTTGATGTGTGTATATTGTGTAGCAGTGTACAGGAGTCAGTATTACATTGTTTCACAGCTCACGATGAACTGAAGCATCACATACTGTATTTCCTGTATTTCTGTACGGTAAAGTTCCGTCTTTGGTGGACTTCCTATCTTTCCTGCAGACTTTGTGGAGAGGACAAAAAAAAAAAAAAACTGCTGACAGGATATTAGAAGGAAGCATATTTATTACAACCCATGGTTCTGCAGCTGTAGAGAAACATAAAAAGGGGACGGATCAGCCACGTTGCATGGATGTACTGTGTTGCTTTGGATCAAATAAATGACTAGCTTTTTTTTGCCCAAGATTGGAACTGCTGAGTCTTCGAGGATGCCCACACCAGACCGCTAACGGAAGACGAAAGGAGAGTCCCAGCCACTAGTTCACATTGAATACTTTTTATAATGATCCTAGAGAAACGCATACGAACAAAGCACCACGTACCACTACCCAAATAAAAAAAAGGGGAAAGCAGATTCATATCTAGAACTCCAAAGAACCATCCAAAGCGGTTATATTGCTTTTGGCTATTGTTGGGCAATTTTTTACCCACCAAAAAAAAAAAACCTAAATGAGGGCAAGCGTCATAGAGGTGATTAACAAACCGAAGATTAGACATGTTCAGCACTTAATTACACATAACCCTCTGTTGTTGTTGTTGAGGTAACTGTAGGTGCATCCACAGTAACGTGCTGCTCAGCTCTGCGTGACGTTTTCCTTTGTTTACTTTCACAGTTCTTTCCTCTTATTAATAGCACCTGCATTGCAGCAGCTACACCGGTGGTGCGGGTACAACGGGAAGTTTGCTTACAACCCTGGACACTTGTTCTATTTTAGCAATGTTGAGTTAACTTGTGGGGTAACATGCTAGTGATGTGAGGGGCCATGTTGTAACCAAACGGCCACCACACCTGCAGCCAGTACTTACTCTGATCCAGCAGCCATATCTGAGTAAGACGTTTCGGGTGTGGTGACTCCCAGCGCGATTACTATGCTCATGACGTCCAGCACAGCGACGCGTGGGAGCGGGGGAAGAGGGGGGAGGAAAGGGGGAGGGGGAGGGGAGGGACAGGATGGGACGGGATGGGGGAGGCGAGGAGGGGAATCACAAAGTCCCAGCAACAGCGACGGACCACTCCAGAGGTGGGGCGCCGCCGAGCCGTATAGCACGGCTCACGGTCATGAGGGACCTGGGGGGGGGGGCAGAGAGAGAGAGAGAGAGAGACGCCATCAGAGACCCTGAATGTTAAATAATAAATACATTTTATTATGTAAAACAAGTTCATACATGAGGTAATATGACCATATTTCATTTGATGCTTTATGACCTTGAGCAAAACACAGCAGATATAAATTTACTGGCACAGGTAGATTTACTGTAACAATAGCAGGGGCATTGAAGTGGACCTACATGGAGTGCAGCTGTTCCTCTCCTGTTCTTTTTATGCTATGAAATGTCAGCCATGAAAAAACACCAGACAGCCACTTATCAGACATAATGCAGCTATTGACTAAAAAATGGGTTGAAAGAAACTGAATGCCTGATCGAACTGGAAGCACCGTCACACGTATAAACTGGACTCCTTCACCAGAGGTCAGCTGTTAAACAGCGACACAGGAAACCATCCGCACACGTCTAATGAAGAGTCAAATTTGCTGACTCATGCTGACAATAAAGGCCTTAATACACGCAGCAGCATAGAGCTGCGTCTGAAACCATAACTGCACATGGACGTGGTCTGATGGACCTGTCCTTCCACACAGGAGGCTTCCAGCGTGGCGGGTGGGGAGGGGAGAGAAGAGGGGGGGGGGGGCGGCCTTCAAAGAGCAGGAAAACAACTAGGGGCTTCACATCCTGTCCGGCTGCACCACCACGGGGAACCAGCAGGAGGAGCCCTGCTCCCAGGCGCCTGGAGGGTGAGTCATCCTACTGGAGGCCCAGCCCTCGCATCACGTGACCACACGCTCTTCCTGCCGATCCTCCCCAGTCAGACTGCGGAGCCCGAGACAGGAAGGCTGCAGAAAGGGGAACGGGTCCTCCTGCGTTCTCACAGTTCACACACACACACCAGAATAACACTTACATGTTTCAATAAATACATAGAAAAAGAAGATACTACAAAAGCAAAAGCCCAACAGCAGGACAGGGGCGGATTTCCTTGTAGAGAGCCAGGGGACATTTCTGTAATGGTCCCATGGATACAGCACCAGGGCAACCACAGCAAGGCTGGGGACTTCCAATAATGTCAAGGTCAGTTCAGCTGTGCTCAGCGTCCAACAGAATGTCGACCCCATCCAGCTGGGACAAACACACGCACACGCAGCAACACGACGTGTCAGCGACCCGGTGGTTACAGAAGCGGCACACTGTGGCCTCAGCGGCGACACAGGCGAGGACATACTGGGTTTTGGTCGTTCACGGGCCGGGCTTCTATAAGCGTTACTCATCGGTAGCGCTGAGCAGACGACGGTATGAAACAGAGCGTGAATGGTTGATGTGACGCTGTGACATACGTGATGGCGTGTGCTGGGTGCCCCTGTTCAAACCTCACATTCTCGTCGCGGTGACCGCTGGCTCACAGAAGTATCCAGCTCACTGCTACCTCGCTCACAAAGGGAGTCACTCTTTGGGCCTCTACCAAAAGAAGCAGACGGTGAGCTAGGGAGGTAAATTCCATACGAAGAAGGAAAGCCTTTCTTTACCTCGCTCCCTCCTCCCCCAACACCTCCCTCCCTCCCTTGTTCGTTCCTCTTGCCATGAATAGCAGGCTCAAATTACAAGCAGGCTCAACAAAGTCTTTTCACTTCCACTAGAACAGAGGCCATTTTGGAGACACGGCCAAGGGGGAGGGACATGCGCACAAAATGAGCAGCAAGAGGAGACCCTCTCTCTTTCATCATCCCTCACATACCTCGGCCCCTTGGCCTGGTTTTTTGTCTACAAACACCAGTGTTTCCACATGGTTAAGTACTGGATGGTGTGCCTACACTCTCCTAAAATCAGTCGTTTATAGGGGTGTAACGATTCATTTTTTCACAACGATTCGATTCGAATCGCGATTCATGGTTGTTTGCCGATTCGATTCATGGACGATCTGGGTTAATTTAGAACGATTCGATTCGATTCAGCGACTTAACTGGACAGTGCAGGCAAAGTTTCTGAGATCCCTGTTGTTTCTTGTAAGGAAATCAGGTTTAAATTAATTATGGATATTATAATCAAGCAAACAACAATTAGCAAATGTATTAACCTTTTATTTGAATCAAGTGCCATTTTCAATGTAAACATTACACAATAATTACACATGTTTGGATCAATTCACAGAACCCCGGATTTTCAACCACATTGTCGGGTCGCATGTCTTTACAGATAAACTTGTTACTGTGATGTTGAGTTTGGTGCTGGCGAGGCCTGAGGCGTCTGCAGAGCTGAGTTACCTGCTGCTGCTGCAGCGGTGACGCTGCTGGAGGTCCTGACTGTCGCCGTTGTTTAATCCCACGGCGCCGTAGTAGACGGCCGGAAAGATTCGTCGTGTTTCCGTGGTTTTTATTTGTCTTCTACATATTCCGCAAACAGCGACCGACTTATTTAGAACACCTCCGTGTTTGCAAAAGCCTAAATGTTTCCACGCGCTGGATCGATACGTTGGTTTGTAAATGTCTCGTTCGCAGTCGTCTCCTCCACGCTGTGTCTTTGTTGTTGTTCAGAGTTTCGCGCGGCGGCCGCTGCGTACTGATGACGTCACAGACAGGCAGACTGAATCCAGTAACGTTTAACGTGTCTAAAGTGCTAAAAAACAAACAAACAAACACACATCCATACCGTTTTTGTACTTAAACCCAATGTGCAGTTTCCAAGTATCGATACAATCGATTATGTACCATTTCAATCGTTATATGTCGTCCGGAATGCCGATTTGCGGAGCACAGATCGATTCAGTTGGATCGCAGGAATATAAATCAGTAACGTTTAACGTGTCTAAAGTGCTAAAAAACAAACAAACAAACACACATCCATACCGTTTTTGTACTTAAACCCAATGTGCAGTTTCCAAGTATCGATACAATCGATTATGTACCATTTCAATCGTTATATGTCGTCCGGAATGCCGATTTGCGGAGCACAGATCGATTCAGTTGGATCGCAGGAATATAAATCGATTAATCGATTCTGTGAATGAATGGTTACACCCCTAGTCATTTATTATCCCGGGATATCTAAATGTACCTATAAGGCTCTAATCCATCCAATCCAAGTGGAGACAAATTAAAAAAAAGGTACAAACATATGAAATGTCACAACTCATCTGAGAAGACGCAAGTTTAGCAAGCACACTAAAAGACCATCAACAGGCGCACAATAATATGTTGGTCCTCACGACAAAGCCACACCATCTTCACAACAGTGAATAGAGCCATTTATTGTCCAATCAGCACATGGAATCACCACGCGTGATGAAGAAAACCTGCTGAAATCCACAATCCACCTCAACATCCGATGAGACAACAGACCCAAACATGAAGCTAAACACCTGAAGGTCCTTGAACCTCCCGTTGCACAACATGAGCACCCTTATTCACAATGAGCTCCTGTTCAAGGTTAAGTAACAGGATGGAGGAAGGCACGCACTTTGCATCTGGTGATTCAGATCGGTGATAGAGAGAGCAAGAGGCTTCCTGACAAAATCCTGTTGTCAAAGACTTGTGTGTGATTTTGTTATTTCACTGTCGTGCTGCTTATTCTGAAAGAATTTGAGCTTTTATGGTTTATACAAAGAAAAAACGAACAACAGACAGGGCACATACGCGAAGAAGAGTTATATATATATATATATATATATATATATATATTATGCTTTAAAAGATAGAAGTAAGCCGATTGGCTGGCCGAGATGGTGCAAATGAATTCAATGCATCATGGGGAAGCAGTCAGACTACGATGTCCACGTACAGCTTGAGGAAGAACGCTAGCAGGGGTTTCCCATTGCCTTCATGAACACACACTTGGGCTTGAAGAGCAAGGCACTGCTCGCTGAGCGTCCACCTGGGCCTCAGAAAACCTCCACAACACATCCAGACCAGTGAGATTACACCAGCCCCCTCCGTCCGCCCCCGCACACATGCTTGCTGCAGAAAGAAAATGAATTTATCTGCCGCTCCTCGGGCCCGTGCAGGTCGGGCTGCACTCTGAGATACAGCAGAGGAAATTAAAGATGAAAAAGAGAAACGGGTAAATCAATGGCCTGCCTCTAAAACAAAAGGGATTATGTGGCAGGGAAAACGCGAGGCTCATTATAGCTCGGATTTCATACGGACCCAAACATATTTACAATGTCACAATGTGGTAGCAGGCACGCATGCACGCACGCACACGACGGCGTAAAACACGTGCATTCAAAATGCTAATGGTAGCAAGTAATAGACACCTGATTAAAGTGCACTGAGAGTAGCGTCATATTAAGTTTCACTAGAAAACATTCAATGCAAAACAGCCAGGACATCACAGAGAAAAAAACGTTCCGTTGCACGAACAAACCCTGTAGATTGCTCATAAGCAGCCAATCACATCCATCGATGGAGGGTGCTACGACGGGCACCTAATCATCATCTAAGGTGTCCGCTGCATCATCGTCACGCGCAACGCAACAGAATCTGTGATGTGATTATATGAGTGCAGACAGTGAGGGAATTGCTGATTTTAAAAAAGCAGAACGTGTGTGTGTGTGTGTGTCCCGCTCTGATTGGTACCGGAATACACAAACATTCATCAGTGTAGCCTGGTCTGGTCTGAACTGATATATAGATATTGTTTTTTGGCCATTGTTAATGGAGGTCTTTTGACTTATGACAGACGGGATTAAGAGCGGCATGCGATCACCACCAGCGACATCTTCGGACTTCTCAGCCACACCAAGCGCCACGGGAGCGGTCTCTACTGTCGAAAGACCTGTGCTTTACCATAAGAATAAATGAACCTCGATTCTGTTGATCATTTTCTCCAATAAAGCAAAGAACATTGGCTTCAATTGTCCTGGGGACATGAATTTGAGCACATCGAAAGAGACAAAACCCAGTGTGTCCCTCCAGCAGCGACCACTACTGTCCCCACGTTGTCTCTACGTTACTCTGCCTCTCTGAACCAGGTTCACTATTATGCCTCAACGGAACAAACCCCTCACTAGTGCAACGC